CTCCTGGGTGTCCAGCTGGAGTGCTGTGTCCTGGTTTAGGCTCCTCAGCACAAGGAAGACATGGGCCAGTTAGAGTGGGTCCAGAGAAGGCCACCAAGATGTTCCAAGGTTGGAGCCCCTCTGCTCTGGAGCCAGGCTGGGAGAGCTGGGGTGCTCACCTGGAGGAGAGAAGGCTCTGGGGGACCTCAGAGACCCTTCCAATGCATAAAGGGGCTCCAGGAGAGCTGGAGAGGGTCTTCAGGCAAGGGCCTGGAGTGAAGGAGAAGGGGGAATGGCTTCCCATTGACAAAGGGCAGCTTTAGATGGGATATTGGGAAGAAATTCTTGGCTCTGAGGGTGGAGAGGCCCTGACACAGGGTGCCCAGAGAAGCTGTGGCTGCCCCATTCTTGGGAGTGTCCAAGGCAGGTTGGACAGGGCTTGGAGCAGCCTGGGATAGTGGAAGGTGTCCCTGCCCTGGAAGATGTCCCCTGCTGGTGGCAGGGGCTGGAACAAGATTGTCTTAAGGTCCCTTCCAACCCAAACTGTTCTGACACTGTATGAAATGTGCACAATCAGTGGCTGTGTTAAGCCTTGTTTCCAGCTTGTGTATTTTACCTTGGTGAACTCTTTACTGAAATTGCAACACCCTCTTCTACTGTTTTATCTTCATCTCAGGGCAATACTGCAGTCAAGTTGCCTCTGGTCAACAAAATGGAAGAAATTTGTTGTCTGGACTGGATCTTTTTTCCTGCAGTGATTTGAGTGTGGCTGTGTCTTTGCCTCTTGGATCTTTTCAGTAGGGGGAATGGTTTAAATCTCTGTCATGTCACTGGTGTTCTGTCAGGTGCTGAGAGGTAACACTTGGCCTCTCTTGGTGTCCTGTTTTAAGTCCAGGATTAAATCCCATTGGTTCTTGGGGTTGTGGGCATGGTCTGGGAGCTCCCAGTGAAGGGAGTATCACTTTAGGCGTGGCTTAGCATGCACACTTGATCCCACCATTGCTGATTGCCAGTCTGTCTCCCAGCTTTGTCAGCAGCCTTTGTCACACCAGGAGGCTGGAGGCAGTGGCACAGCCATCCCAACCTGTTTTAAAAGCAGAGGTCTGGGAATAAAGTGCCTTCTTCTGGCACTCCTGAAGTAATAAACTTCAAATAAAGATACAAATATGGAGAGTGACTTCCCAGGTACCAGCCAGAGAAAATACACATCCTCAATGCACAACATAATCTCCTGGGTTTGAGCACTGTTAAACTGAGTGATAATTATTTGGTATCTTTTATTAAACATTGATTTCTGAGGCATTTTTCTGAAGACTAATGCTAAGTAGAAAGTGTTCACATGAATCTAATCTTTGCCCTAGGACTGAAAACAATCAAATCTGCCTTGTTGTGAAGGCTGGAAAATATTGCTGCTGTTCAAAGGAAGAAAGATTTGCATTCCTCTAGTAGGTGCTGCACATATGTAGAACAAGCTTGAAGGAAGTTTTACAGGTTTTTTTTTTGAATGAAAGGGAGTTTTACAGGTTTTTTTTTTTTAAGCTGAAAACCCTGGTTGATCACTGTAGCATTGAGAAGAGCTTTCAGCAATTTTATCAAGTTGGTGCAGCAACATCTGCTCCAAAGTGGAGCATCTTCCAGTGTCAGAAGTGGTCAGTGTGGTGGGATGGGTGGGTTGTCCTGTCTCTGCTACTCCCGTAGCTTAAATTCTTGTCTACAGTTTGTCTGTAGTAAAAAATAACTTACTTTTCTATTTTAGCTGTTGTCTAAAAGCTGCTAATACCAAACAGAGAAATTACAACTGACTTCTTAAATTCTGTTGCTTTTTAAAAGCTGCTGCTTAGTCTGGAGGTTGCACTTTTGGACTGTTACAGTTTGAGTAATGTTTAAAGCAGCTAAATGAGTAACGTAAATATTTAAACACTAGCTATAGTGAAAACATCAACAACAAGATTAAAGCCTCAGCTCCCCTGAAGACATTTATGGTAATTTTGCTTATGTTAATGATTCCTTTGGCTTCTGTCACCTTCTCTTCTAAGGTAACTGCTCTTATCCATGGGATGATCCTGTGAAAAGAGGAGTGGCATTAAAACCTTTAGTTTTGAAATAATGTTGTTTCACTATCAAAATTTATTACTGAGGCTTTAGGATGCCAAATGTACCAGCACACTAGTGAATATGATTTTTCAGATATAGGAGATGGCAGAATTAAAAGTTAGAGTTTCTTGCTGATACTATGCAAATATGTGAAATTATTTTTGGTGAGAGAATGTTTGAAAAATACTGTGTTTCTTCCTTAACATGTTTTGGGTAACTGTGTGTTTTAGAATAAATGATGAACATCCTTTTGTTTGTTTGTTTGCTGCAGTAAAAGCTTGGATAATACTTGATGGAGTAGCGTTCTCTTTTTTATTTTATCCATGGATTCCTGTTGCTTAATAGCTGCTGAATTTTCATGGCTTTTGAAGTGTCAGTGAACTTTGTTTCAGTGTCCTGTGTACCTGTTTGTAAGTTCCAAAAGAGTTTGTTTAATATCAAGGGAAAGAGAAGCATCTGACAGCTTGTATTGTGTATAAGCTGTACTTCTTTTTCCAGTTGCAACATACGTGTCCTTTCTTTCCATAAACTTTTTTATTTTTAATTGTGCTGCTCAGTTGTTAGTCTTTCTTAGTTTACTTTAGAATTTTAAATGAGCAGTTCAAAAGGGCTGTAGGGAGTGTGGGTTGGATTTGGGCTATTATTTCTTTGATTCAGACTGATAAACTGAAGTAAGTACATCATAGATGTCAAATTGTTTCTTCATGTTTAGATGGAAAATGTTTTCAGAGGAAATCCCAGTTCTGCAGTTGTGCTGTTGAACTGCATTTATAGTCTAGGGTGGAGACTCATGCCTGGTGTATGAAAAAACATGCATCAGCAGTTGAGATGGCTCAGCAGATTACTTTGCTTTTTCAACATGTGAGAAGTAAAATAAATAGGAAAGTAAATACAAAAAGATTGGAAGTGGTGGTTTTTGTATCCTGACTATAGGGCTGGTGCTGAGTGCCTCCAGGTTGGTGCCTTGTGTTTGGGTGGGTTTTGCAGGTTTATGTCTTGAGGTGGTACCTCAGATGTCTGTTGTGATTCTCATTGCCTTGAAATATTTTCAGCTGATCTTTAAAAAGTCAGTGTTTGAAAATATTCCTAAATGGCCAGCATGTCGTGTTCTTCAGATGATTTTCAAGTATTCTTTGCTGCCCTGGGAGAAATCATGGACATGTTTCTGAACTTTTTAGGATAAATTAACTCACAAGTAAGGGACAAAGAATCCTTTCTTTTCTTTTTAGAGTTTTTACTGATTTAAGGTGTTACAAGTCTGTTTTTGCTCCACCTGTCTTTACTGCTCACAGTATAACAAAAAGAATTACTAAGATAAGCCTTTTTGCCCTAGTTCTTACCCTGGGTGATTCTTTCTCTGTAAAATTCACTGCACCTGTCAATATGTAAGGACTTTTGGTACTCAGTGGTAAACTTCAAGTCTCAATTTTCATGGATTGTTTTTAGTTTAAGGAATTATCGACTGGAGTAATGTTGTGTATAAGGAAGATAATTTGAAATCTAAATTAACTCAAGGATATTCTAATATAAAAACTATTAGCAGTGTGTTTTCTCAGGATTAATTGTAACTTTAAGCAATGCTCACATAGGAAGAGAATTATCAAACCTTGTTTTTAAAACCCATTTTTGGTAGTTGTTGCTCCATATACATTTTCACATCACACTTAATTTATAGCTCATATTCCAAGAGTTTGGAATTTTTTATTGTGGGTATGGGAACACAAGGTTGTGACTTTGACTCTGAACTCAGTATTCTGGGCATTTTTCCTGCTTTATCATAAGACCAATGTAGTATTTACATGAATCTTTTTATTTTTATAGGAAAATGCCACTATGAAGTGTTGACATTGAAATGTCTTAAAAGCTGGGGTCAAATGAATGCAATATGCTAGTTTATGGACTTTAAATAGTATGTCAGATCCCTTTTTGACTAAGAGATGTGTAGCTATTGGGTTGTGTTGTGTAGCTGTGCTCTGTGTAACTTGAATTCAGTGCAGGATTCTACAGGGTACCAGCACCCTCTCGTGGGCTGTGTGATTGTGATTTTGGAACGGTTTTAGAATAGTCTGAGCTTCACACTGCTATGGCCTCATCAGTAGTTTTTTTGAACTAGGAGGTTGTGTGTTAAATTAAAGCTGTCTGTGCCTGGTCCAACAGCTGTGCTTGTTTGTGGAAATAAAATTGCTCACATCATCCCTGTTATCCTGTATCATCCTCAGAATCAGAATCACAAAATGGTTTGGGTTGCGAGAGACCTTAGGTTGGAAGAGACCTTAAAAGTGGTGGTGTGTGTGTGTTTTACCCTACATCTGCCAGTTGTTTTCCACCTCACTGCTGGTAGTTGTGGGATTTTCCTTTTGTGCAGGAAAATGCAGCCTGATGTCAGTGGGATCAAGAAAGTGGTATTTGGAAAGGGGGTTGTTGTATGAGGGGCCTTTTACATGGATTAAAGTCATTCCCTAAAAATAAGAACCAAAGATCTAAATTAAAAAAAAAAAAAATCTAACAAGATGAGAATTCTGGATTTGGTTTCAGGATAAGTTGGGTGTGATAATACAAATATTTATTTTGTTTTTACACCATTATTTACCACTTTTTTGCCGATCCTCTCTCCTAGAAGGTGCAGAGATTGCAGATTGGGTTCTGCTACATAACTGCTTGTACCTTAGGGATGTTTTTTCTGACATCCAGAATTAGACATCTTGAGTCTTGATTTCTTTTTAAATTTTTCTTTTTTTCCAACCAGGAATGTCCAAAATGGTCAGGGGGTTACATAAGACTTGGGTCTGGGACTGTGTATCTGTAGTATGGATTATTTTATTTTTAGAGAATCAGAAATGTGTCCCTTTTTAAGGTCAGGAGTTACTATTTGTAATGCACAAATTGTTAAAGAACCAAGCAATTGACTGGATTTCCTCTTCTTGCAGGTTGCAGAATCAGCATGTCTCTCCAATAGTTAAAAAGGTAAGCACACTGTATTTGCAAACATGCAGCAGGATTCTCTGTTTTCTGATTGATGCATTTGGCTCATAACTTGGAGGAGGAGAAACTTCATTTTAATGTATTTGAACACTTGTTTAGTACTTTCTTGTTTTATCTATAACATTTATTTATGTTTGGACTCTTAAACAGTTTCACAATTACTGGATCAGCAGCTTGAAAATAGACAGGATGTTGGTTTACAAGTTGATATTACAAAAATTTAGTTACTCCTCTGGCTGCAAGTTTGTATCCAATGCATATTAATTATTAAAGTAATTATTTATTAAAGTAAATAGGCAGAGCTGGCATGTAGGACTTGCAGGTTTGCAGAGTGTTTGAGCAAAGCTTAATAACTGATTTTGGTGGGAAAAGAGGAAATAAACCTAAATTGTAAGTGTATCTCCTAATCCCAAACATCAGTCTACCTCCATGACTGTTTTGTTTTCTTTTTATGAAACAGCTTCAAGGTATCTAGTCTCTTTTGATCTCCTTTAAAACTATTTTAGATTTTTCTTCCAATTAGTTATTATTTTCCTTAGCACTGCGTAGCTGTATCAATTATCTTTTAAATGATGTTGAAAATATTAATATTACTTATTGGGAGGTCCAAGCTACTCAGTTTTCCTCTCTGAATACTTATAACTTTTGCCTTGGTAGCACGTCATAAATACATTTCTGACAGTTGCAGGTACTTGAGGAGTCCTTCAGAAAAAAAAAATTGTGAAAAATGAGGCATTCAGTCCTAACAGTAATCTGGTAAAAAGGAATAAATCTGCAAATTTCCTAAGTTATTTCTAATTGGGAGCAGAGCTCTAAACTTCCTTGGTTGAGGGATCAATAGATGCAACCCCAATAATTTCTGTAACAGCAGATGGTGCTGTTGGGATGGATTTAATCACGTGAGGAATAGACTCCAAGCTCACCAATAAACTCCAGTATGGGTTTATGTCAGAGCTCTTGGGGCTCCCAGTATGATACAGCCAGCAGCTCTGGATCTGGAATTTTCTGTGCAGAGCAGCTTTTCAGGATGTACTTTAGCTCCTACTAATTCTAGCAGTTGATGCTAATTTATATTTCTTCTTGCTGAAGTGCACAAAACTAAAAGGAAAACTGCTGTTGGCCTGTAATATTGTCCTTGTGCTTAAAAATACCCAGTTTGCTTGTGGGAGCAAAAAATTTAAAAAAATCTTTAAAAACACTTAAAAAATACAGTGTATGAGCATTTCTTCAAAGAGTATGAAAAGTAAGCTGATAATGGGTACCAAATCTATAAGTAAATGAGAGTTTCAAGGATGTTTTGGTGCTTGGAGATTTTCATGTGATACCTGTTTAAAAAGGAGAATTGAGGAGGTGCTGAAGTTTTCCATCAGTCTTGCTGTGTTGCTTCTGATCTTGCCTGGGTTGGTTTATCTCTGGAATTTGGGTGGAATATGCTTGAGTTGTTTAGTGTCTCTGCACTCCTGGTTCAGGGATGCAGGTGAAATGGGAGTATTGGAGATGGGTAAGTCCCAAACTCCACCTGGGAACTGCTTTTTCTTTGGAGAGAAGGCAGCCCATTTTCTCCTTGATGCCTCAGTGGGTGTCAGATCTGTGAAATACAAGGTATTATAGGATTTACTGCTTCCAGCACACACAGGAACACTGAATGCCACAGTTTTGTTCTGTGTGCAGCATTTACTTCCTTGCACTTGGTTTTCAACCTGCTTTTGTCTAATCATGTGGACATTATAAGATATTTAAGGATATTGAGTATTTAACTTAATGCATGTTACAGATTGGTTATTACAGGGTAGTTCAGCCTGCAGAAGACTCTGGGAGACCTCACTGTGACCTTCCAGTACCTAAAGAGAGATTATAAAAAGGGGAAGAGTTACTTTTCATGTGGGCAGATAGTGATAAAAGAGGAGGAAATAGTTTTAAGCTAGGATACATTTAGATTAGAAGTTAAAAGGAAATTTTTCTCTGTGAGGGTGGTGAGGCCCAGAGAAGCTGTGGCTGCCCCATCAGTAGAATTGTTCAAGAGCAGGTTGAATAGGCTTGGAGCAGCCTGGGATAGTGGAATTGTTCAAGAGCAGGTTGAATAGGCTTGGAGCAGCCTGGGATAGTGGAAGGTGTCCCTGCCCATGGCAGGAGCTGGAAAGAGGTGAACTTTAAGGTCCCTTCCAATTCAAACCACTCTCTATGGTTTAGTTCTATGATATTTTTTATTTCCTGAAACTGTTATTCCTGAAACTGTTATTCATTTACACCTGCAACAGGTCACCAAGTTTCTTTCCCAAGGGCATTGTCTATGTTCTTTAGCCAATAGTCAGATTTTAGAGAGCTTTTCTCTCCTCAAAGCTGTCATCCTTCAAGGCCTTTTCCTAGGCCTCCTTCCTGAGTGTCATAGCCCAGAGTCACTGCCTTGAGGAGCAGGGGTTGGTAGAGTTAGGAGCTACAAAGGTGACCTGAAGAAGTCTCTTTTCAGTCTTTACACCAAATTTTGTGAATCAAATCTCTGATAATTTAGGACAGATAAAGTAATTATTAAAAGCAAAATCACTTTTGACTTCAGATAGCTAATGGAGCAACTCTTCCCCCAAAAGGAAGGAGAAATACACATTTCTATGTATCTCAATCTTTGCTGTGCTGAGAACAAGGTGGTAAAAGTTTGAGCAGCTGAAGGAATTATGGTAAAAGACTCAGTAGTTGCACAGGCTGCTCTTTGCATTTTACAAATTGTGCTGTTTTCTCAAAGATGCAGAATGAATTTTCATCCCCCTAAGGGGTGTTTTTTTCCCTTTCTCTCTTTGTCAGTGTTGCTGTTCCTTCAGAGCTGTGTAGATGTAGATACCTCACTCTCCATGTCCTTGGCCTGCCACACACAGCTTATTGTGTATTGAAATGTGAAACTGGGCCTGAAACTGTTAATTAGCATACAAAACCAGTTAATTAGCACACCAAATTAGGCACAGCACTAGTTTTGGGAGTTGCTCTTTGATGGGACTCATTTCCTCCTGATTTTCTTAGTGTGATCATGTGACTGTGCCATGACTCTGGCTTGTTCCTCCGTGGTTAGTTCTTCTTTCTAAATTCAGTCTAAACTGAGCTCAAATAATCCTCTTACTCTTTCTTCATTCTCAGAATGAGAAGTAGTGTCTAATAACATGGATGCTGAAGTAGAACTTCAATTCCTTTGTAGTGGGGAAGTTGGAAGCTTTTAGTGCTTAGGCTTCAGACAGAAATAATTGCAGTCACTCAGTCTGTGCTTTCCATCACAGTCTGGAGATGCAAAAGCTGTTATCTGGGATCTGGGAATGAGTGCCAGCAGGTAGAGCTCCCTGGTAGCACATCAGCCCAGTTCCAGTGGTGAGCTGGAGCGTGTTGGGCTTGGCTAGTGAAGTACTCCTACTTTAAGATGCCATTGGCAATGTTTTTCAAAAAATGCCAGCCTGGATAGTTGTCAAAATAGGATGGTGCATGTAAGTCATGTACCAGAGATCATCTAGATTCAGTCATGAGCTGTGTTCCTGATGTACTGAGAAATAAAGGTCTGAGAGCAGCTGGAGGTGTCTGGTCAGAGAGGTCTCATCAGTGCAGTAACAGACTGGAGCTTGCCCCTGCAGGCATTCTCTGCTGCAAAGTGTTTTTTGTCCTGTGAAGTTTAATCTGAGGGCAGGATTAAAGGGTAGCTGCAACCCTCAGCCTGTGCTGGTGATCTACATATCCTAAAATATCCTCAAATAATCTAAATATCTAAAATATATTAAAAACATCAAATTATCTAAATATCCTAAAATATGCTCTGCATATCCATAAAATATCCTCAGCCAGTGCTAATGATCTGTAGGATCTGCAGGATCAACATATCTTTGTTGGTCACTCAAATGGGGAAACCGGATGATTATCCCATAATGTGACATGTTACTTTTTAGTTTATGAAAAAGCTGGAAAATATCACAGATAATGTTGACAATGGGAGGCTTCTTGGTTGGCCTGATGGAAACCTTTGTATGGAAAATCTGTGACTAAAGTGTATTTGAGATTGGTATATTTTTGTATTCCTACTATTTCCAACTGCATTCTGTGCCTTTTGAGGCAGTGGATGAAATGGGAACCTGAGAAGTGGTTGTAAAGGATGCTGAAAGCATCTTGTTTCATTCACTGGGCTGTGTAAATATTTCCTTGCTTATGTCTCTCCTTGTTTCTGAGCTACAAGACTGAAGAGTTGCCCTCCTTTATTAATAACAAACTAAAATGAATTGTGCCTTTCCACACCTTGGGAGTAAGGATGCCTTTGATCTAGTCCTTCTCAGAGCACTGTCCTTCTTTGCCCCTTGTGTGACAAAGGGTTAATTGTCACACGTGCCTCTGGCAGTGGGTGAGGGTGAGCTGCATCCTCTGCTCATCTTGTTCACTGGGCTGTGCATCAGTGCACTCCAGGCTTCCAGGGCTGGGAGAGGAAGCCCAGGGATAATCTCCTTTTGGGAATAGCTAGTTGGTGCTTTGGGAAGGGTGAGGGGTGGCACAGGTGCCAGGGGTGCATGGCATCACATCAAGCCATGGCTCTGGGCATGGGGAGCCTCTGCAGCGTGGCCCGAGCGCACGGGAAGCGCAGGAGGATGAAAAGATCTGAGAGGAAAGGTAGGGCTTTCATTGCTGCATTTAAATGCTGGAACAAAAGACTTGGTGGTGTTGTAAATGTAGTTTTCAGGTGAGGTTTGAAACTCTTTGCTAAGTGCAACTTCACCGTTTGCACTTTGGAATCATAAGAAATCCAGTTTGTCGGAAATACTTTGAGCAAATCCATTTCCCAATGTTTTATTTCACTTGACTTTCAAAGTTTGGCAGGAGGGGACTTTTGAACAAATATGGAACTTGCTAAAACTGCAGCTTTCTGACTTAGGCTGTTTTCTAACAGCTCTGTGTCATCTCTCAGGTTAATGGGATTTTTTCCATATATGCCATTTGCTGAATGTAAAGTGTTGTTAGCTGCTAAATTTCCCTTTCAAGACATATTTAGGTTTTTTCTCAGTAATGAGAATAAACCAAGATAACTCTTAAGGTCTTTCTCAACTCTTTTTTGCATGCAGTTAATACCTAGGGTATTCAGACAGAAGAAAAACAGGTTTTCTCTAAGTTCTCGTGTACTGTGTGCTTGCTATAGCTAACATTTACCTAAAAATCTCTCAAGTAGTCTCCTGTGGAAATAAAGGCAAATTCTGTTGTGTTTGCTGCTGCATTTTTAAGTACTTCTGATGTTCTTTCTATCTTTGGAAATACTCTACAGGAATGAAAGACTTCAAAACCAGGAGAGGATTAATAGTTTACTTTTTCCTGGCTCCAGTTAAATTAGCATACGTGTACATACTGTTTTCCTGTTTGACATGGCTGGCTTTTAATGCACCTAGGAAAAGAAAGGTTTTTGTAGTCAGAGCATTTTAGGGTGTGCTATGCAGATTGCCTTGGCTTCAGTGAGTGAATTTAGGGGAGAGTTGGGTGCAGGTTTGTTGCTCTGTGTTATGAACAAAACAAACATGCAGTCACACCCTCAATTTATTTTACCAGTATACCTGGGAGAAAACAGTCCCTGTAACCATGGAGCTGGCTTCTGCCACACTCCCATTCTACACATAACCTGCTGTAAATACACTGACCCAAATGCCTTTGTCTTTATGGCACTGATTCCTTATTGCTGTTCCTGAGAGCTTTGTTTATCTCTGAACAGCAATTAAACTTTTGCCTTTACTCTTAGTCTTTTTTTTGCCCAAATAAAAGTTTTTTCCAGTGCTGAGAGTGTTCGTGTAGTTGTATCCCTTATCCTATAGCAGGATTTTAGGAATGAATCTCAGGATTTTATCATGCTTGGTGTCCAAGCTTCAGTGGAGTCCTTTTGGAAGCTGTCCTTGCTCAGATGCCACTGACCATTACCCAGCCTCGTGAGGTGTCTTTGTGTCTGTAGGACCTGAGATGTTCCTGGATGTCACTTACTAAGTGGGTTATTTACAGGCAGGGAATTTATGCAGTTTTGCTGCTTGAATAAAAGTTTGGAAGGTCAAAGAAGCCTGAAATGCTGTTCCTTTTTCAAAGTGAAATGATAACTGAATCACTAATGACTGCAGAATAATCAAGCATGCCTTGGCAAGAGAGGAGGCTTTTTTGTAGTGAGCAGCCTGGGCTCAGTCCATTTGGTGAAAACATCTCCCCTGTCTTTCTGAGGGCATACATAGCTCCTATTTTATATGGAAGGATTTGAAAAACCTTTTTTCTTACTATCAATTCCTCTACCTTTGAAAGCCAGGTGAAAAAAAGGAGAAACCTATGGATTACAGTGAGAGGAAGTTTGGAAGATAGGTGTGTGTACTGCGTTCATTCTGTCTGCCCAGCTCAGTATTGCCCCTTACACGATTCACAGAATTGTAGAAAGTTAAGGATTGGAATGAACCTTACAGATCATGCAGTACCAACTGTGGGCAGGGACACCTCCATCTACACCCGGTTACTCAAGGTCTTTGCCAGCCTGGCCTTGAACAGTGCTGGGGTTGGGACATGCACATCATTTCATACTCTTTAAATACCTGATTCATTCTCTTCCAACTATTTTTGATTTGCAGTGGGTGGTTGTTAGAAATTAATTATAATGGAAATCAGTTACTTGTATGAAACACACAGAGTCTTGTGGTGCTAGAGTAAGGGAGGCTTAGCTTTGCGAAGTGGTGGAATCACCATCCCTAGAATTGCTCAGGAAACAAACAGACGTTTCATGCTTTGGTTCAGTGGACATGCTCATATTCAGTCACAGGGTGGACTTGATCTTGAATGTCTTGAAGTTGGTGGTTCTGTGACTCTGCTGTTCTTTACCAGAGTGATGTGCTGGTGCAGTTGTGGGGACTGGAGGGAGGACTGAGTGCTGCTAACTGGACTCGTGCATTTTTTTATAAAGAAAGGATTGGGAAAAAAGTGATCATTCTTTATATGCCAAGAGTAGTCTAACTCCTAAACACACGTGGTTAAAGCTTAAAACAGAGTGTTAGTGTCATTTGGCTGCAGTAACACTGTAGGATTGCATCTCTTAGGTGCCTTAGGGCTCTTCTGTCAACTATCTTTGGCTGTTCATCTTCCTTGCTGCTTTCAGAATCTGTTTCAGCACAGTTACTGAAATGATTAAAAAATGCAAGTAGAGTTTCTGTTTGCCTCTGCTTTTAGCAGGCAGGAGCTTGCCTTTTCTCTCCTTCAGGCTGTGGGTGAGGTGCTGAGCCCAGGCTGATAACCCAGCTCCTCAGGAGGGTTTGTGCACGGTGTGGAAGTGTGGGGCAGCTCTGCAGCTTTTTTCCCTTCTAGCTTGGCTTAAGAGAGCTCACTGATCTCCTTGGTAGAAGTTAAACCAGCAATTTGTCAAGTCCTTAATCCTTGAGTACAAAGTGGTGCTGCAGGAGTAACTGGAGCTGCTGTGATGTGCTAATTGAGGTGATAATTATTTACAAGTCCTGTTGATTACAGTCAACAAATTTCCTCTTGTTACAGTGGAGTGGGCTGATGTTGTGTAATGCAAACTGCCTTGGGTTGGGCACAAGGGGGTATAAGTAGCTGGGGTGACATCAGGTGTGTGTTCAGTCTCAGTGGGGTTCCACATGGTTCTGTCCTTGTCCCTGTGCTCTTCAACATCTTCATAAGCAGCCTGGAGGCAGGAATCAAAGGAATACTAAATATGTTTGCTGCCAATGCTAAATTAGAAGGAGCTGTTTGCCTCGAGGGCATAGGGCCCTATAGAGAGACCTTGATGAATTTTAGGGGTGGGCAGTCCCCAGTCATAGGAAGTTCAATAACAAGGGGAAATGCTGGATTCTGAGTGTGTATAGACCAGGCCATGAGAGGAATGAGAGGCTGGAGAGCAGTGCTGTGGACAGGGACCTGTGGGGTCCTGTTAGATGGCAAGTTGAGCAGGAGTCAGCAGTCCCCTGGCAGCCAGGAGGGACATCAGGCACAGCATCCCCATTTGGGCAAGGGAGGAGATTGTCCCACTTTGCTCTGGGCTGGCATGGCCTCACCTCGAGTCCCAGGGACAGGTTTGAGAACTACAATGGAAAAAAACCATGAAGATGTTCAAGATTGTCCAAAGGAGTCTGTGAACAAAGTGAAGAGTCTGGAGGGGAAACCATAGGAGGAGGAAGCCATAGGAAGCCATCTCCTCCAGGCTCTCCTTGTTCAGCCTGGAGGAGACTGTGGGGAAATCTCATTGTGGTCTTCATCATCCCACTCTGGCCTTTGGCAGATTGGGGCTGCTTATTTCAGTCACTGATGAACATCGCCGTTTTACAGAGGATCAGCTGGGTAAATCCAGTTTTGGTCAGGATTTACCCAAACAGCCCAATGCTAAGCCAGGGCCTGGGCTGCTGCTTTTAAAGGATGTTTTAAACTTATTAACAGTAAGTTTTAAACCTAGTAAGTTGGTACCTTAAAGCCTGAATATCCTCTTCCCTGTTTTCCAGACAGAAGCCGTCTCCGCCAGCCAGGAAACCAGCAAAGATATTTCACAATGGATGTAGACGATGAAGAAAACATGAGTAAGATGTGTTTATTTTACACAGTAATAAACTCTCTAATAATTTCTGAAAGTAATTTTTTTCTCTCAAGCACAGGGGCAGTTGCAAAGAAACCTCAGGTGCAGAATTGAAGATGCTTTAAATTTCAGTGAAGAAGAGTGAATTAGAGCTTTTGCATTAACAGTGTTTTTAATGTGCTAATATAGTTATACCTTCTGTATTATACTTTATACCTTGTATTTTTTCCTACAGCAGCTGACTAATCAAAATATTTCCCTCTCTTGAACCAGCAGTGAAGAAGGGAGGGATAATATCAGTAGTGCCCATGCCAAGGGTAAAGTACCAGTAGGGAGTGAGAGGTGAGATGAAGGAGATGGAGTTGAAGAGTGCAATATAAAGAAGGGAGAGCAGAAAAGGAGAAAGGAAAAAGCAAAGGTGGAGCTGGAAAAGCTCTGTGCAGGTCTCACATGGGCTGATGATTCTTTTTAGATGGTGATGGTCCCAACCCTGAGCTGCTGAATTATTGAAGTGATTTTAAAGCACAAAAATAGTCAAAGTGATCATCTTGGTGTGTACTTGATGCAGCCAAGTATGTGAGACTGCTGACTCTGGGGTATAATTAAGATCCAATAACTTATGAGAAAAGTGTTCTTCTTGAACTGTTCTGAAATATTTTTACTGTTATTTGCTTTTCAGCTGTCTGTTTTTCCTGCGACTCACAGAATTGTTCTGTTGCTGCTGTGCTGTGCCTGACTGTAAATAATTGTACATTATGTTATAACAAATGTGCTTCTTTTTCCCCCAAGTGACAGTGGCTAAAGAGTGCATCTGGCAAAGGTGACAAAGCTCAGCACTGGCTTTGGAGCAGAAGAGTTGTAGTTCAGTCTGGACAAGTTAGAGGAATTTTATAAGGAGATGAGAAAGTTAGATCATTATGTTAAAATAAACCAATCAAACCCAAAACCTAAGCAAAAAATACCTGAAATAGAATCAATCTTTTTTTCTTTAGTGAAACAGTGAACTCAACTGCAATATGCTTGCTATAATTTTCTTTTCCCTGATAACAAATTACTTCACATGGATATTTTAACTGCTTCTAAAGGTGCCTTCCCTATAGAGGCCTTCAGAAAGTGTAATTGGATAATTCTCATAGTTTTTTTGATAAAACATCCCTTTGCTCAATAATGATGTAGCTGAGCATAAATAAAGGTGCCTTCTTGAGCTGGAGAAATATAATCTCTTTATATAGGGGCATTCTTTAATTCTGTGTCATTAAGAAAAACACTAAACTTTTTGTCTGCTTCTGGGCTTTTTTGTGTGTTAGTGCATCAATATGGGAAGCCATTCAAGGAATTTGTTATTTTGTCAGGAGCTTGGCTCCATGGAACTGTTTAGGGAATGCATTTGTATGACTTCAGTTTTGAGATGTCAGAACCTTGGCTGAGCCCAGTTTATTTCAAGTGCAAGATGACCTTCCTTTGTGTGCCCACACAAACATCATGAATTGGAAATGTTAAATCATCTGATTTGGGGAGGTCAGAAATCAAAGTTTAAATTCTTAAGTTCTTTGCTTTGATTTGTGCAGAGATATATTTTTTAACTTTTTTATCTCTCTTTACTTTTATATCTCTTAAAATTGTGAAGTGGCATGTTAGAAATAGTTTATTTAATTTTTAATTATTTTATGTAACTGCTTTTGGGAAAAGGTTCTTGAAGGAAAGGAAGGTGGGCTATGCAGTCTTTGTAGCCTGTGGTTGCATAACAAGAATTCTTCTGCAGAACCAGAATTAAGATGATTTTCTTTTTGGGTTCAGATGAAATATAAGACAGTGATGATGTCTTACATTAATAAATTAATATCCCTGAGAAAACAGTGTTTCAGACTTCAATTTCTAGTGTTTTCCTTCTTTAACCTTTGGTCATAGAGACGCTACAAGATATTTGGGGAAAGAGATGGTTATTTAGAATGTTGTTATTTGTTTTTTGTTGCTTTGTGTGGCTGCACTCTGGACACTTGGAACACAAGCATGTGACTCTCCTGACCTTTATCTTTGATGTATTTGCTCCTTTTTTTAAAGGGTGCTCTGAAGAGAGTATGGTTTTTTTCTGCTTGTTTTTGAATGAAAAAAATTACTTATTTAGAATTGCCCCAGGCCACTAAATGAAGGCAGCAGTATAAGGGGCAGCTAGAACCATCTTTTGGTTCAGCTAAGAGTTAAATTTAATTAATTGTGTTCCAGATCAGACAGAGCAGGCGGAGTGTTGCCTCTCAGCAAGCAGAAATGGAAGATCCCAAATGGATAAAGCATCTTAATGGCAGACACCTTTTAATTACAGGGAATAAACGCAAAAGTAAACCAGAGCATCACCACAGAAGATTTATTTCTTTACTAGCATGAAGAATTTCCCATGCCTTTTTCCTGCTTCAAATGTCCTTGGGTATGTAAGTGCCCAGCTGAAATCTGAAGGGCAGGGCTGTCCTTCTGCTCAAGTTGTTGATGTCAGCTATGATTTTTACTAAGGTGGCCTCCACAGACATAAGTCAAATAGTTGAAGTTGCCAGTTGTTTTTAATGTCTAGGAAATACACCAATCTCATGAAAAATACCCAGTTTTAAAATCATGGGTTGTATAAATGTTTAAGAAAACAGGATCTCAGTCATTAAGTGTTTATGTATGTGCTTATGCTGCTTTAAATACACAGCAGATGTGATGGACTTCAAAGGGCTCTCTAAAGCATTAATTCCTTGAAGAATTATATTTAAAGAAGGGAAATATTTGAGATTTCTGTAAAATCATGCACAACATGGGGTGTTTAGTGTTAGAATCATCAAACTTTAAAAAATAGCAAATAAACCCCAGTAGATGCAGTCAGACTAGCAGGTGGAGGATCAAAGAAAGAAACGGGAGATGTTTTCATTTGTGATGAAGTGGTGAAGCACCTTGCTCAGGACATGGTGGATACCACAGGTTTATGGGGTCTTTCAAAGCCATTAGAAAACTTTTTTTTGGGGAAAAAAAAGCTCATGTGGCTCCCTGCCATCATGGGCATGGTCACTTAAGTGTCCTTATACTGGTGTGATGCCCTCTCCTGGGGTCTGTTGGTGGCCCTGTCACCTGTGGGGAACGGGGCAAGGTGAGCAAGAGCCTGGAGGGCCATTCCTGACTTCCCTGGAAGGGTGGCATGCCTGGAAAAGGCATCCTGGGAGATGAGTTGGAGGAGTTACTGCATGTAACTGCAAGATGGGAGGTGGCATCTCTGATTGGACAGGTTATGTTTTGACTAATCTTCCCAAACCCTCAGGTAATTCGCCCCAACCTGGGCTGGACAGGTTGACCAAAAAGGACCAAAAGCACACCTTCACCCTTGAGAGAGGGAGGGACCTTCCCTTGCAGTGTTGCAGCTCGGTGGGTTGAAACAAGCACATTCCTTTTGGTTTGCACAGAAAGTCCTTCCCTTTCCATCACAAATTTGGATTTGGATCAGCTCCACAGTTCACTCCTTTCCTGGTCTCTTGGTTTGACTCAGGATCAGCTCCCTGTGTTCTTCCTCTCCAAGCTTCTTCCACCCTGCAGGTTCTCCAAAGCTAGCAAAGCCTAGTAGCTCTCAGGCAAGGAGTAGTTTTCTTCCCTTCTCTCTTAATAATTCCAGGTAAGCCTGCAAGTTTATTTCCTGCTCCCTCCAAGTCCCTCTTCTCTGTCAGGAGATTGTTTCCCCTGCCTGATGAATGAGTTCCTCCAGCTGACATGCTTACATGGAAAAGCTTTTAATGTGCAGCTGAAGTCTGTTCAACTCCTATTTTGCTCCACAGGCACTGGTAGTGGTTTTCATATGAAAAGTAGTGAAACCAGAGAGCATTAATTAGTGTTAAGTCAATGATTTCTGTTAAGCCTGAAAGTCTTGGTGATTGATAACAAATATCTGGTGCCACCAGTAAAAGCAGCGTTTTAGATGAGAAACTCACTGTAAGGAAAGATTTAAAAATTTCTTCTGTTGTCCTTAGACTCCTCTACCATAAATACATATTTCTATAAAGAATATATGCATGAACACTGTGTGTTGACAGTTGTGGCCTTATAGCCTTCATTCTCCAGGCAATATGTATATTGCTGAACAAGAGATACTAGATTAAATGTACAAGATTTCTAGCAATGAAATGCTTCAGAATTTTGATTCTTGACAGAATTTAATTGACTTAATTGCATAATCAGTACTGTACAATTCTTTGTTGTGCTGCTGTGATTTAACAAAATGTGTTCCTGTTTTGGCTTTTTGTTTTCATCTTTTTTTTTTTTTTCCTTCCTTTTTTTCTCTTGGAGCACCGAAAGGAGTAACCTATCGAGCTTTTGCTGGAGGATGTTATAAATGAAAATTTAGTAACCATTCCATCAGCTTTGTAACCTGGGTGAAGTGATGTGTGCATGGTAGGGGATTTTTAGGGAAGCCTGAAAGCATGACTGGAATTTATCACTGAGAGAGAGCTTCTACCTGGTTTGCTCTAATTTCAATGACCATTTACCACCTTGAGTCAGTGTAGATATAATAGAGATAAATTCAAGTTTTGGAACAGGAGAATTAAAAATAATTGGTCTATTACATTTGCCTTTTCATTCACAAATGCCAGTAGAAAACACCACTAGTTAATTTCCTTAGTTTCTTTATCAGGGTGAAGATGAGGTCTTTGAACTTAGAGCAAATTCAATTCCTTATATATATCTCTGACATATCATTACTCCAACTTACATTTTTTGAAAACAAATCATTACATTATTATTATATTGTCTTCCCTGCACTCCCATTAAAATATTCTCACAATGAGTGTGCAGCTTTGGTCACACTTCTGTTCTACATGGCCTTAGAGAGGATCTCTAGCAATTTTTGGGTTTGTAACTCCATGACAGCAGTTTCCTTGACAAGGAATTATGCTTGTAAATGATGAATTAGAGATTTTTTAAATAGAAGGCTGTATGGAAATATATGGTCTTGTGGTCCTGCTGGCACAGTGGGCAGCTGTAGTTCCTGAGAAAATTGGGATGAGATGAGATGAAATGAATGTTTAGAAAAGACATAAACAACTCACTGAATTTGAAAAGTATGGAATAGCTAAAGAGAAATAAAAGCATTCAAACACTCTTCGGTCATGGTACCTACGAAAGAGCTGCCTAATTTTTCATTGCTCTGAACAAAGGTTTTATTTATGTAGTTTTTCAGTTTAAGCAACTAAAATTACTGTGGGGAAAAAATGACATGACTAAACTGATGATGGACTAGGATTAAATATCTGGCTCAGAGTTGAAGTCTTAGGCATCCATTTTTACTTTACTAATGGTAGTTGTTTGTTTTGTGGGCATATGTTCTTATAGCTTATATTGTTGATTTAAAGTATTTTTGAGGCTGAATATAACTTAGAAGTAAAAGTTAGGTTCTAGCATAATTAAAATGAAAAAAAAGTTGTAGTGATTTTTTGCTGTGCAGTTGTATCAGGTGTGTGGTTTGAAGACTGAGTGTGTTATTTCTTGAATTATTGAGAGGTTGTGTTACATTATCATCATGTCCAGTTGCATTGCCAAAAATATTTAACCTGCGAGCACACATCACTTAACCAGTTACAAAGAGAGATAAAGGAATCTATAAATTTTGCATTTACAAGATCCTGCACCGAAGGCATTGTAAGTTACTCTTTCTGGGCACCGCAGGTTCGAGCAGCACCGACATTAAAGAAAACCGCAATGTGGACAACGTTCCCCCCAAGGACAGCGCCGGGCAGGGCCTTGGCGAGGGGACCCCGCTCTCCAACGGCGGCGGCAGCAGCAGCAGGAAGAGGCCTCTGGAGGAGGGCAACAATGGCCACTCCAAATTCCGCCCCAAGAAGAGGAAGAAAACGCCCGGCCCCGTTCTGCCAAAGAACGCCCTGATGCAGCTTAACGAGATCAAACCCGGTTTACAATACAAACTGCTCTCGCAGACGGGGCCGGTGCACGCCCCCATGTTTGTGATGGCGGTGGAAGTCAACGGGCAGGTGTTCGAGGGGTCTGGCCCGACAAAAAAGAAAGCCAAGCTCCACGCTGCCGAAAAGGCGCTGCGCTCCTTCGTGCAGTTCCCCAACGCCTCGGAGGCCCACCTGGCCATGGGCAGGACTCTGTCGGTCAACACGGACTTCACGTCCGACCAGGCCGATTTCCCCGACACCCTCTTCAACGGCTTCGAGACGCCCGTCCCTTCCGACGCTCCCTTCTACCTGGGCTCCAACGGGGACGGCTCCTTCGGCTCGGGCGGCGACTACGGGCTGCCATCGTGCGCCGTGGCCAGCAGCCTGTCCCAGTCCCCCCTGCCCCCGGCCTCCCCCTACCCCACGGCCAGCGGCAAGAACCCCGTCATGATCCTCAACGAGCTGCGCCCCGGGCTCAAGTACGAGTTCCTGTCGGAGAGCGGGGAGAGCCACGCCAAGAACTTTGTCATGGCCGTGGCTGTGGACGGACAGACTTTCGAAGGGTCGGGAAGGAACAAAAAGCTGGCGAAAGCTCGGGCAGCTCAGTCAGCCCTGGCTTCCCTGTTCAACATGCAGCTGGACCAGACTCCATCTCGGCAGCCCATTCCCAGCGAGGGGCTGCAGTTACACTTGCCACAGGTGAGAAACCCTTTGGGTGTTTGTGTTGTGTTGTGATGGCTTTGGCTAACGACCAAGAGAAGTCAGATTGTGTATTGAATCAGTTTGAACAGCATTTCTGCTTCTGTAGATATGTGTGTCTATATATATATATGTATATCTGCATGATGTGATTTATACTATTACAGCTTCTGACAATTTGTATTCTCTTGCACAGACCAGAGGCTTTGTTTCTGATGTTTTCAGCCTTGATTCTGTTGTGTAAGAGAGCACCAGTGCCAGCCTGAATTACGGTTTGTGCTGGGGAAAGATTGAATCACATCTTGCTCATCTCAGGCAGCAAGACTTAGATGGGTTTCAAGTGAGAATCACTGCTTTAAGTAAAGTTATTATTTGGTACAATGGTTTTTAGCAGAGAAGAAAATCATTCTCTCCTGCAAACAGAAATTATTGTGAGTCAAGGTCAGATTTAGTGAGTCTGTTGCAACTGCCACTGATTTCCATGTGCTTGTATCCAGGATGTGTGGTTAAATGGCTCTCATCTGAAGGGTTGTGCTCTAGGCAAATGAATTAATATGCATATGGAAGTTACTTAGGCAAGTAAATATAGCTAAGAAATAATTGAATTCAAATAGCTAATGAACTGTTTGAGGGCAAGTATCCAACATACCAGACACAGATCAGAAATTTGAAGTCACTAGAATGGACTAATTTTGAGGTTTTTAAATGCTGAAAAATTCTTCCTCTTCTTGTTTTTGTTTCTTCCCAGTCTAACGACACTAATAATTGTTTGACTGCTGTCTTTCTACTGCATCTCTTGGGTCTTTTTAATGATACTATATGCCCATGTAAATTAAAATATTTGTCTGTGAATTCTTTTCAACTTTCTGTTTATTATGAGAATTTCAAGGCTTTGACCTTTCCTATCTCAAAACCAGTGTTGTAGATTTCATTAAAATTCTAACATAGTGTTCTAATTTGATAATGTGGGGTCAAAGAGTATAAGTAAATGAGACTATTTTGAGTATGTTGTTTTTTCAAAATATATGGACATTATTCATGTTTTAGAACTTGCTATATGGTTTCATTTTAATATTCCACAATTACCGTGTTACTGATAAATGTCTCTTTCATTTTCAAATCCAGGATCACACTGCTTTGGGTACTTACAATATCTTGAGTAGATTCAATGATTTTAGACTGCGTTCTCTGCTTTTAGAAGTAGATTTGACCCCAGACACCAAAAAAATTTCACTGCCGGTAATTCATGTGTTTTTAGTTCTTGCATCAGTAAAATGGTGAAAACTGAAACTGGAAGAGGAAAGTGTGAAAAACCCAAGCTGAGCTGGGAAAAAGATGGTACATGGGTGCTGCCACACTTAGACCCTATTTCAAGTAATTTTTTATTCAGGGGCTTTTGATCACTTGTCATCAGGATGTCATCAAGCACTTCACTGTGTTCCTTTGCTTTGAATTATAATTAGCTGTTAGTGAATTACATTAGGTCTTTTGCATATTAGTGATTTTGGTCTGGTATGTATTTAATGATTTAAGCATTTGTGCTGTTTTCAGATCATGCTTGATTTATCTTCTTTTGGAAGTCTGTGAGTTGTTTAATTACTTTAGACATTGTTTACTGTGTAAAAAAAAAGTGTTAGGTTCAGAGATAATACTAAAATGAGTGAAATCACAAAAACTGGAGAGGGCAGGAATGATGCAAATGAGGATAGGTTTTGATACAACCAGTGGAAAAAATAAAATATTGATGGGGTTGGAAAAAATGAAAGGTAGAAATATGTGAGGGGAGGAGAAAACCAAATACCAAGTGCTTAGGGGAAATAAAAGAAGTAGAGTGTGGTTTTGCCAGTGAAGATGGAATGAGGGAAGGTTCCCTGCAGTCAGGAACATCTCTGTGCTGGGAAAGTGAGTTAAACCCAGGAACACACTCAACGTGTGCCTCAGAGTGGGTAGAAATGTCCCAATGAGAAACTCAGCAGTTGTGCATTTAATGCACCTTGGCAGTGAGTGTGTTGGTATTGAACAGGTTGTCACACTTGCATTATAGGGGTTTGCCTCTCCAAAACAAAGGAAATATTTTTATGGTTAGCTCTGCTTTGTGAACTGATCAAAAAAAAAATCAAGGAACAACAAAATAGTTTGGGTTGTAAGAAACCTTAAAGATTATCTTATTCCCACCCCCTACCATGGGCACAGCCACCTTCCACTGTCCCGGGATGCTCCAAGCCCTGTCCAACCTGCCCTTGAACACTTCCAGGGATGGGGCAGCCACAGCCTCTCAGTGCCATGGCCTCACCACCCTCACAGGGAAGAATTTCTTCCCAATATCCCATCTAAAGCTGCCCTTTGTCAATGGGAAGCCATTCCCCCTTCTCCTTCACTCCAGGCCCTTGCCTGAAGACCCTCTCCAGCTCTCCTGGAGCCCCTTTATGCATTGGAAGGGTCTCTGAGGTCCCCCAGAGCCTTCTCTCCTCCAGGTGAACACCCCAGCTCTCCCAGCCTGGCTCCAGAGCAGAGGGGCTCCAACCTTGGACCATCTTGGTGGCCTTCTCTGGAGGGGTCTCACACCTCTGTCAAAGATGGCATGGTGCTGTCCCTAAAAGAAGTTCTCAGGCCAGTACCAAGTGCTTTGGTGTAAAACTGAGAGAAGAACACATTGGTAGCAGTAATTCCCCGTAAATGCTTCAAAGCTGCAGCAGTCCAGGCTGCTGGGGTCACTCAGGGACAGTTTCCATCAGACACTGGGATCCTGCTGCTTGGAGGGATCACCTCTTGAGGACACTAATGGCTTATGTTAGAAAGCTGATATGGAGGTTTTCCTGATGGTATTTCCTCTGTTTACTTAAAAAGATAAATGATTAGTCAAGGTGGGCAGAGAGCTGGAAATTGAAGTCGTATGCATGGAAGTTTAAAAACATTCATTTAAATTAGAAAGCTTGACTGTGGTGAGAGAAAGCAAGTTGAGCTGCACAAGTGAGCAGTGTAGCTGTGAATGAGATCAGTTTGAAAAACATGACTAGAGAGAGTGTTTTTAATCATTCACCTAATTCAATTTATCCTTTCTGTAGTTGTGGGCAGACATTGAAACAATATGTTAAGCAGGAGAAATGGGGTGAGAACCAGTTCTGAATGTCTACTTCTACTTGATGTGGTTTTTTAGTCCTGGTTCCATGTGGGGCAAGGGGAAGTATGAAAAATTATTCAAATTTATAAAAGATAGACAAATAGTTATGAGCATGATTGGAGATCTGGGAAAGCTGCTTCTGGAGAGGTACTGAGGAGTTCTAGGCAGTTCATAGCAGTGGATTGCTGAGTGTATACAGGAGAATAAGAATGAGATGGATTCAAATCTGGGAAAAGGGTACCTTGAATATAATTATGGGAATATCATACATTTTATGTTAGAATAATTGCTGTGGAGTTGGAAGAAATATACAAGATGCATCAGCATAAACAGTGAAAGACTCTACAACCAGGCAGAAGTTTGTTTAAATCATTACAGGAAACTTCTCTGAATTGTGTGTGCTGGTCACTGTTAAAAAAGGAGGACCTTGATTTTACCCACAGTGAGAAGTTTACATAAGCCATAAACTGTGAAGATAAGAAAAAAAACTAGAACAAACCAAGGGAGAGCATTTCTGCTTGAGAAGGGTCCCTGGAGATCCAAGAAGAGCACAAAGGACTGAGATGTTTTGAGTCAGTTCCTGTGAGAGCTGTGAGCTATCACTGCTGCCTCTCCCACCATTCAGGGCATCACCAGCATTCATCTTGGGTGGTCTCCAAGGTCTTCTTCAGCTCCAGATTGACATGAACTTCATCAGCTCCTGGATATTTTTCAGATGTGAAGGATCAGGGTGGTTCTGCTACAGTATTGCTGCAACATCTGTATTTAACCAACCCTGTGTGTGTGTGTAGAAAGGAGTGAATTTACTGTAAATTCATCAGAGAAGGGAGCAACGCACCCAAAATAATTTGGAGCTCACATGCCTTACTGAGCCAACTGTCAGCTATTTTGGGTCTTTCCTTTTTTGAATTACTCAACTTGGAATAATGATTTAATGCAGAAGCGGGGGTAGAGAAACTGTGTGTGTCAGATGTTGGGGCATTCACAGGGAAGGTGAGACATGAGTTCAATTTCTGTTCCAATTAACATTTATTTATATCAAAGGCAGTAGAGCAGAATGTGATGTGAAAGATCCCTACTCAGCTTCAAGTCCATGGTTTTGAGATGGGGACAGCAGGATGTCATTTCTGGCCAGGAAGTCTTGTTCCTGGTGCTGCATTATTCCCTTCTCTTCCATGCCCTTAACTATGGCAAAGTAATGGACTGCCTGGGAGAGAGGGATAATTTTTGTGATTTCTTGGGGGAGTGTTCTTACCAAAGACCAAAATCTCAGTGACTACATCTGTAGGCATTTAACAGTATTTATTCCTCACTGCCCAGCTGTTGTCACGAAATTTGTGTATCAAATAGAAATAAGAAAACTTTAACATATGTGCCTGTTTTTAGGCAGTGATTTTTTTTTCTGCTCTCCAGTTCATCCTGGATTGTTTGGATCTCCAAGATTCATTTTGTATTGCTTGACTTCTGCTTAGTTCTTCTTATGAGTTCTCCCCAGTGTCCAGCTCCAAGTTCATCCAAGCATTTTTAGGTTTCCTTGCCAGCAGCTTAGCTCCAGGCTCTGTGAGATGCAGCTCCTGTTCTGCTGTGCCAATTTCCATCCTCCTGGAGAAACTCGCTGTGTGCTCCTTTGTGTACCAACACCACAGTTTGCTCTGCTTTGCTTGTTTTGTGAAAAAAAAAGCAGCTCCTTCTGGAAGAAGCTCATGGATGCAGCGTGTATGCAGGCTCACTATCCAGCTGCTGCTCAGGGAGCCTTTTGTCAGTGGCATTAGCAGGCACAGTGGCCTGGGATTGCATCCCAGAAACACAGGGCAGTTTCAGTTCCCAGACTTGGAACCTCCAGGTACCAGTCACCACCACTTCTTTAGAAAAGGTCAATCACATGGTTTATTCCTGGATGCCAAGCCTTTTCTAGCAGGTTTGAAGCCTCTATTAAGCATAGAAACATATCCTAGTTTGGGTTGGAAGTGACCTGAAGCATTTCCTGTCTGGAATAGTTTGTTTCTGTAGTATCTAAATTCCATCACAGTGTCATTCAGCATGATTTTACTGTGTGCTGTCCAGCACATCACAGTGTAGGGCAGAGCAGAAAATACATGGATTACAGAAGTGAGAGCGTGAAACTTGCAACTGGGAAACAAATATCCATCACTACACAGTGAGGTTAGGGATGAAACACTGCAATGGGGAATTTGTGTCTTGACTATACAGTGATCTGCCCTCATGGCTGCAGGGAGCTTAATATAGGCCTTTTGTGTATTAATTTTCCATTTCTAAGACCAGGGTGATTAAAAACCACTCAATGTTTTGCCTTTTCTTTTGTGTATTTACCTTAAAGTTCAGCCTTCTGCATTAGGTAAGTACTAGGACAATTGAATGCAGATTTTAGCTGTGTGGTTGTGGTGCTGGCAGAACATGGACTAACCCAATTTTGGGTCCAGCAACAAAAAGACTGTGTTTGAAAATCAGTGCCTGACCAGACATGTTCATGATGTCTGAGCTAAATTGTGTTCCTGAAAAATATATAGAGTTTCTGAGTTGCCACAGCTTCTCAGTTCCAGAGTTCCAGTGCCTCACATTGGACATGTGAATGGCACTGGTGAGTGTGACACAATTCCTGTGTTCTGTGGCACGTGCAGCTGTGGGCCAGGTGTGCACACCTAGGACATCTCAGATACTGCTGGTTATCAATGCGTGGTTGCCTTGGCTTCAGCTTCTTTTCAGGTGAAAATTCAATAATTTGGTCTTCACTCATTTTTTCTAGCAGTTACAGTTCCAGTTGCCTTGAAAACAGCAGGTGAGATTTGCTGCAGTGCTGAACTGGATTGTCTGTCAACAGGAGCAGGACTGCTATTTCAAAGTTCTCCTTCCTTTTGGAAGTTAGCCCCACTTACAGCCTGATCTAAAGTTCAAGTTTTCCGAAAGACAGAAATCTTTGCTAATTTTGAGATAGCTTATTTGGGGTTATGCACTGATATTTTCTATTCCTAACTTTGTAGAGGTCTTGTAAAAATAGGAAGCATTACACTAGGGTTGGAAATAAAATTGTCCTTGTTTATATAATACTTAGATAAGGAATTAGATTGTTATAAAAAGTTCATTTGAGGGACATGGATTTTTACTTCAATCTTATTGTCAGGTTCAATGTTGAGGATACAGAAATGATGTGTTTTGAGGTTTGAGCATGAGAGGATAGATTTATCTGTCTATCCAGTTGTTCTCCCAAGCCTCAAATGTTCATCAGGATCATGGGCATTAGGTGCTTCAGTGCTTTGCTTAGCACTGTCTGACCCTGTTTTGGTAGACATGGAGCACTCAAACCTCTGCTTCCACTTGCAAGGGACACCTCAATGTCAATTTTTGAAGTGAACAATAAAAACTCACTTCATTTGCTTTGTACAATCCTTTAAAAATGTAAATCTTTATAACTTAATGCTCCTATAACTTTAAAATTCATCTTAATTTTTTTTTTAATGTGCATTTCTGTGTGGTTCTACAGGTGTTAGCTGATGCTGTTGCACGCTTGGTTGTAGATAAATTCAGTGATTTGACAGAAAATTTCTCATCTCCACATGCACGTCGAAAAGTCCTTGCTGGAATTGTCATGACAACAGGTGAATTAAAAAAAAAGTAATATCTTGAATGCTTAAATATGAAAGCTCTGTTTGCATCTAGTAAACTCTTTTCAGTCAAGCAGTATTGAAATGTATTTTTACTGTTAAATCTTGAAGGTGAACTAAATATAGTCATTAAATCTCAGGTACTTACAGGAAAATTAGACCTGCAAATACTTCTTTTTCCACAGAGTTCCTGTCCTCTGCCTGAGACATCTGAGTAGCTCACAAAATTCAGGTTTTAAAGTTAATCATGAAGCTTTGGGAAAATAAATGAAATTCCCCATTGGTATTCCTGATTTGGGCACATTATGTAAGAATTACACTTCTTTTCAAGGTTTTAAGATTTTGCACTTGTTATTCTTGCTCCATTTTATTCTTAGTGCTCTATGTTAGTCATTTTAGCAAAAATATCTGAAGAGAGCAGTTGATGTTTTGGCAGATGGCAGGGGTGTGCACGTGTCAGCAGTGGTGTCGTGGCTGACACGAGATCTCTGCTTGTCCAGATCACCCAAAACAGTGAAGTTCTGCCCTAAACTAATCTGTGGCCGTGCTGCTGCTGATTTTCCTCACATTGAGGTTTCTCTTGGTCTTCAATCCATGTGAACCCTTGGTGCAATGTTCATTTTGGGGCTGTCCCCGCTGTGTCCCCTCCTGATCTCTTGCCTTCCCACTCACACAGGCTTTTGGGAGGTTTGGGAAGCCTTGATGCTCCTCAATCTCTGTTGAGCAACAGCCACACCTCCATCTGCTATTAACACTGGTTTAGCCCCAAATACATGAGGGACATGCTGTAGTTTTGTTTATTTTATTTTGTGACATTTATTTGTGTTCTGTGATATTTAACAGGTTTTTATGCTATTTACAGCCCTGTATGTGCAATTCCAAGAAGAGTCATGTGCCAAAGAATTAAAACTTAACTAAACATGTGGATGCCTTTAGATAAACTGAAGAAATAGCTTTACACAGAATGAGAAAATATGTTGCCATGAACATGTGTCTGGGGAACACCTGGAATTCAATGATTCCATGGCACAGCCTTGTGTTACAGCTTGGTGCTTCTCCTCTGGCCTGTGGGCAGGAGGGCCCAGCTGGGCTCAGGTTCATTTAAATTGTTGGGCTTTTTCTTTAACCCCTGAGTGTTTTGCTAAGTGGCATTTTGACCCATCTTTCTTAGTCCTTCATCCAGCTGGGTTTTTTGAGTGATAAAGGCACTTCTCTGCTTAGAAAACACCCACCCAACATACTTTTGCATGGAATGGTTTAATACCAAGAACTACACGTTATACTGGTAATCTTTACAGTGATTTAAGAATTTATATTTCTTTTTCCCCTAGTCTTGCTTTTCCTGTATTTGGCTCAATACCCTTCCATAATATTTTGCTGCTTTAATAAACCAGTGCCCTTCAGATTTCTCAAGTGGTTGTGAATATCTGCATAGATGACCAGAAGGTAAAGCTGAAAGTTTTGTCTGCCTGAGTCTCAGGAAAAAAAGCATTTTGGATCTCAGGCTTTAATTATTCTTCTTGAAGCAGCTCTTTCTGCCTTCAGGTTTTCAATTTTTAACTTGTCTGAACTCCAACATGAAAAGAGTAGTTCTCATAAAACCACTGATGATGCTGGTGCAGGGAGGTATGGCTGAGTGAAGCTTTTGTTTTTAAATAAATTATCAGAAGAGAAAACATTTCTTTTTTTTTTTTTTTAAAGAAGGAAACCACCAAGAAAAAAAGCCTTGTTTGGGTTTTGCAAGAAGATCACTCAGTGCATTAATTGTGATGTTAATTGCCTCTCCTTTCTGAAATTTTATTTTGCAGGTACAGATGTGAAAGATGCCCTGGTAATAAGTGTTTCTACAGGAACAAAATGCATCAATGGTGAATACATGAGTGATCGTGGTCTTGCATTAAATGATTGCCATGCAGAAATCATAGCTCGGCGGTGTCTGCTGAAATTTCTGTACACACAACTTGAGCTTTACCTAAGGTGAGCTGGAGGGGAAAAGATGATGAGCTGATCCCACAGAGCTGAAAAGGTGTCTGTGGAAAACATGTGTCTTCATCATTTCGGTGTAAAGCACTTGTCCTGTTGCATTAGGATGCTGAATTTAGAACTCGTGCCCTTTGCCCTGAAGTTTGAGTTGAACAAAACATTTATTCAGTGAGGTGTCAATCATGAGAGGGGAGGACAAGGAAAATAATTGGCAATCATTTTGTAAGCTGTAAATGTATAAATCAGAATAATATGAAGTGAGCTAAAGGTTGCTGATGTTTCATTTAAGTGTCTGAAAACTCTTGACATCTGTGATTGCCACAGGCTCTTTTTTCCTGTCTCGATGGTCCTTTAATTTTGTTAATTGTCACGACTGTTAGATTTATATAATAGAAATTTCAGCCATCCTGTGTTTGTTTTTAGTGCCTGCTAAGTCTGCCCAGCTTATGCCTATTTCCATGTTAATGTCAGTTTTGACTCCAGCTTTCTTCTCTGTTTCAGCAATAAAGAAGATCAGCAAAAATCCATTTTCATCAGGTCAGAGCAAGGCGGGTTTAAGCTGAAGGAGAATGTGCAGTTCCACCTCTATATCAGCACATCTCCTTGTGGTGATGCTCGGATTTTCTCACCCCATGAGGCAGCACAAGAGGGTATGGCAGCAGTCCTCCTCTTCCACCCAAGGGAGCTTGAATTATTCTTGGGGCATGTACAAGTGGCACGGTTAAAATTTAGGTGTCTTCTTTCCTTTTAGCATAGAAGTGTGTTAGACACAGATCTCTTCCAAAAAATTCTGAGCTGTTCTTCCTCTGTGGTAGAAGTTCAGTATAGAGTGATGAGCCCTGTGGTCTTGAAGAGGCTGATGCTAACTGAGATAAGCCAGTGAGTCAGCAAGTATTCCTACAGAACTAACCATCCCCTTTCCCTGTTTCCATCCCTAACAGCAGTTCTCTGCCTGCCCCTTCTGCAGTCTGCCCATTAACTTCATTTTAACTCTGTAACACACAGAACAGAGCTCCAGAGCTGCCTGCTTCCTACTGCTCTTTTGGTGAAAGCTTGGTTTAACTGCAGGTGTGTTTTGGAAGGCAGTACTTGTGAGAGGTGTCTGGTGCTGTAGCTAAGTTGCCAAGAGCAGTAGGAACTGTGGTGCAAACCAGCAGTAACTGCAGACAGAGCCCTCAAGTCAGTCCTTCTTACTGTGATTCTAATGTCAAACCCTTGGAGAAGGTTCCTCAGCTGATGCTCAGTGTTTTTTGCCCTTCAGACCAAGGGGACAGACATCCAAACCGCAAGGCCAGAGGGCAGCTCCGGACCAAAATCGAGTCTGGGGAAGGAACCATCCCTGTGCGCTCCACCACCACCATCCAGACCTGGGATGGGGTGCTGCAAGGGGAGAGGCTGCTCACCATGTCCTGCAGTGACAAGATAGCCAGGTGAGACTCTGAATGCTTGGGTTTGTTGCTGTTATTGCTGGAGGAGGGCATGGGACAAGGGGGTATGGCCTTAAGCTGAAGCAGGGCTGGGTTGGGTGGGATATTGGAAAGAAATTCTTCCCTGTGAGGGTGCTGAGGCCCTGGCACAGGGTGCCCAGAGAAGCTGTGGCTGCCCCTGGATCCCTGGAAGTGCTCAAGGCCAAGGCTGGATGAGGCTTGGAGCAACCTGGACTAGTGGAAGGTGTCCCTGCCTGTGACAGAGGGGTGGAATAAGAGAAATCTTTAAGGTCCTTCCAATCCAAAACCATCCTGTGGTTCCAAGGAGGGGTGCTTGGTACCCACAGTGAATGTGCAGGGAATTGATGGGCTTATCTCACTGCTTGGACACAGTGTGAGGGTGGCTGTCACCCCTGGGATAAAGCTCTGATTCTTCACCTGCAGTTGGTGTCAGAGGCAAGGTGTAGTCACTCTGTACCATTCCAGCCACATCAAGTCATGACAGCTTTGTTTTGTATTTCTGTCACTGGGGAATAGCAGAGGAATGGTTTCGATTTTTTCCCCCTAAAGTAGTATAGCATTAGGAAAAGATACAATAAGTCTATTGCATTACTTATATTTGGATAACTTCCTCTGATGATACATGCCCTTGCCCCATCATTGGAAATGTTCAAAGTCAGGTTGGATGGAGCTTGGAGCAACCTGGTCTAGTTGAAAGTGTCCCTGCCCATGGCACAGGGATGGAAGAGACAAGCTTTAAAGTCCCTTTCAACCCAAACCATTCCATGATATTAAAGATTGCTACATTTTCCATGCATAGTTTAGATTTTTATTATTTTTTATGGTGAAAAGTGTCCCTGTTAAAAAAATCCTAATTGACGGGCTCTTCTAGTTCTTACTCTAGAATTTTATTTTTAGTTTAAATATTTTATTGAAATTAAATATTTTGTTTCCAGATCGTTATTTTAATTTATATTTCATCAAATTCCTTTTTTGGAATTTTTCCAAATTCCTTTGTTCTTTTTGACAAAGATCGAAAGATTTTTCTTGTTTGTTTTCAAAATCATAAATGGACAAAAAAAATCAGCAGTAGCTTTAACAAGCATTGGAAGGATGGGAGAGTTGCAACATCATAATTTTTTAAATTAGTCTGCATGTTTGCAGCCTTTGTGCTCTTGCAGAGTAGATGAGGAATGCCAAATTTTCCAGGTAATGATACTTTGGTTATTTTCATTGATATGTATGCTATATCTGTTTTAATTAAAAGAGCTTTACTGTTTTCTCAAGTCACTGTTAGCCTGATTTAAAGTTTAATAAAGATATTAAGTTGGAACTATTCTTGTGAACTGCGTATGCCAAATGAAAAATAGAGGAGGAAAGTTATATAATGGCTTTGTTCCTTTAGTCTTGTCTCAAGTAATCAGCATCTCTACTGAAGAAAGACATTTTATTTTAGTTTAAATACCCCTAACATAATTGAATAGTGCCTTTCAGAAGGTAGGACAGGCAGCTGGGGAAAGGTAATTCTACAAATTTTGGCCTATTTTATAATACTTTCAGTAAAATTCACCAAATAAATCCCCTATTTCATGCCAGGGGCTTTTCCCAACCACATTCTTTTATCACATTGTCATTGCAACTATATTTAAAAAAAGCCAGTTGTTGGGCTAGAGCACATTTGACTCTTTTGTTGATTTGTGTGATGCAGAACAGAATCCATCTCTCGCTTCCATAGCTAGCTGTCTCCTGTCCTTGGGGCTAATGGGAATAATTTTGTTTGTGCCAGTGAAGGAAGCAAATAGAACCCCTTGACACACAACAAAGACTTTATGACGGGTAAGGAGGCCCAAATTTTCCTTTTTTTTTTTTTTTTAAACATTGCCCTGACATGTTTTGTCCATTTGCATTTGAAAGAATGCCTTGCTCCATAGTGTCCAGCAGTCAGTCCTGCAGAATGCCTCAGACACTGGAATTTCCACTGAGCTTTCCCAGAGGTTCACAAGTCACAGCCTGGGAAAGATGTGGATGAATTTGGGGTGTGGGATTGCAGTTGTATCAAACCACTTGTGCTTCATCTGTGTGGATTACCTGGATAATCCAAGTTGCTGTTTGCAGCCTTTGGGTGCTTTGCTGCAGTGTGCTGCCCAGCACCCTCCTAGACCTGCTAGGAACATCCGGGAACAGTTGTGAGAAATGTGGGAGGGCCATGAGTCTAATCCCACTTGGACTGGAAGCATTAAAACAGGATTTTATTTTCATTAAAACAGGATACTCTTTTCCTAATTGTACTCTTGTCCTGGTGTGTTAGAGCTTGGTGGCTCTGCACTAAGGTGTTAGGGTGGTTTCTAACCAGAGTTAACATTAATACACATGCATTTGTTTTAAATTATCCTGGCCTGCTGCCATGCTACTTCACAATGTTGACTTTTGTCATTTTTCTTTTGATGTGTTTTTCTGCCCATGTTTTTGGTTTCACATAACTACTTGCCTTCTCAGTAAACATTCCAGTTAATGGCTAATGTCCTGCTGAGAAGCACAAAATTCCTTATCACAGGTTCCTAGAAAAGCTCTAGGAGCTGAGAAAAACTTGTCTCAGTTGAGTTGTTAAAAGGGGAGTCATTGTTTCTCTTCTACTTTAGAGAAGAGAAAATATTTTTCTGATAAATTTTTGTGTAAAAGAACATCACACACCCATTCACTGGCCTTTTGTGCTCATTCAGAGATTTGGGAAATCCAAACAGACATTTGTAACTCAGTCTTTCTCTTTTTTTTCCCCCAAAAGCGAGCATTTCTCCTTAGCAGTTCTTAACCCAGGTGCAGTAGCTGATGTGAATTGCAGTGCATGGTGGCTTTGTGGCACTGGGGTGAAATACCTGAGGGCAGGTGGTGAGAAATGACTACCCAACGTGTACCATTATGGAACCTCTCAGCTAAGCTCACATGTGTTACAATCTGGTTTAAACCAAGAAGAGCAAAGAAAACTAAGTCTTTGTGTGTAAAAGGGGCAGAACTTTGAATGTTCTAAAAATACCCCAAAAAGTGATTAAAACCAAATGAGGTTAGATCTTGGTGCCAGAAAATAGCTATGTTTTATTTAATAGTAGAAGAGGCAATGAGAAAGAAAGAGGAAAGAAAGAAATAGAGAAAGAAGTGTGTATGGGGGGTGGGGGGAGAGTGACAGGGGTTAGGTAGGAGTGTATCACCCTTCTGAGGGTCCCAGTGATGCCTTGTTGCTCCCCTCCATCTGGTCTTGGTGGTGAGGGTCCCCTGCAGCCCTGAGAGGTACAGAATGCAGTGGGTGAATGTCAGTTTGGGGCAGGTGGGGATGCCCAGGTGCCTCCCTTGCAGGGGGCCAGCTGGACACTGTCCCTTGCAGGACTCTGGGTGTGTTGCAGCATGTGCAGGGTCTGGGGGGCCTTTGATGGGCCATGACACCCCTCAGCTGTCCTGCAGCTTCTCCTGAGGGGAAAAGGGCTCCACAGCTGAGCTCTGCACAGCAGAGGATGGCATTCCTGCCTCCGAGCAGAGGCTTTGTCACCACGCACCCAAACCTCTCCTCCCTCCTGCCTTGGGTGCAGGGTGTGTGCCAGCCTGGCAGCTGATGGCCCCAGGGCTGTGCTCTCCACCCCCAAGCTGTGCTGACCTTGATCCATTCCTCTGGGAATGTATTCTTCATCCCCCAGCCCAGACCTGAGTCACTTTATCTTATCAACACGCACTCCAGGCCCCCATTCAGGGTTTTGGTGTTTTTCTCTCAGTTTTACACAATTTGCTGTAATAGGCAAAGGTCCTTCATGAAAATGTTGAAGTCATAAACTATAACACTTCAGTCTCCAACAGCATGCAGGCAGCAAATCCAGGCAATGCCAGAAAAGCTGGGACAAGTCAGAGCTGTGTGGTTGCCTGCCTCAGTGCAGCTACAAGGGGAGGACTTTTCCTGTCTGTAACTGCAAATCTGAAATGGTGTTTGTGAGAAGAGCTGCTGTCAAAGACCAGAGACTTCCTGCACTTATGCTTTGTAGTGTGGGCTGCTGACCCAGCCACTTGATTTAAGAGAAGCTCTCACTCCCTGTCAAGATACTGCTGCCTGTTTACAATTGTGGCTCTTGAAGAGCAGTGGTCACAGAGAATTAATCTCTTTAGGAGACAGAGAGAAATCAGGTTTCAAGTTGTGCCTTCTGCATACCAGAAGAAGTGGTTTCTGGGATACTGCTACATCTTCCACAGTGACACCTTCTCTCACTTGCCATCAGCTGCAAGTAAAAACTTGTGATAAATGAAATGGCAACTAAATAATATTCATATCTTCATAGTAATTGTTGTTTATAAATAATATTGATATGGAAGCTCTTTGAACTGTAAACACTTGTCAGGTTTTGCCTTTGTTTGAGTAGTTGCAGGACTTTTATTTTCCTGAGATGAATTTTGGCACCAGTTCCACTGGGCACCATTGTGGGTCACACATAGTGACTCCCCTGCCCTATGCTCCTCTCTGCATGAAAATCAGTAACTAAAATGTTTGATTTTAACATCAAGATGTATGACTTACTCCTGTTAGGCCTCCCTCAATTCTGCCTTTTGTCAAAAATAATGTGAACAACAGAATTTCTGTACCTCTTGCATTTGGAAAGTTCAGAGGAGAGTTTTTACCTTGCACATTTGTTTTTAACTGGTTTTATTTTTGGCAAGAGGTGCTACCAGCACACTGTGAAAGGGTTGCTGAGAGTTAAATTTTGCTTACCTTCTCATGTGTCAAGAGCTGTGAAATCAGCTGCATTTCATGAAGAAATCCACAGACCTTTTAGGAACTCACTGTAGACACCCCTGAGCAGGTGGTGGTCCAACATTGCAAGGAGGAGAGGACTCCTCTTGATTTGGTGTTGGTTTCTGCTTTCTCCACCTTCTTTTTTAGTGCAGTGTGCTAGAGAACAGCAGAAAGGTTGAGGAAGTGCATCCATCCTCCAGACTGTTATGAACAAGATATACAGCAGTGCATATAGAATAAGAAAACCAGTGAGTGTGACAAATATTTAAAATTCAGATTTTTCCCACTGAGGTGCTCATCTCTAAGGCATCAGGTGGGCACAGTACACAGAGTAAATAAATTCCTCTGTGTAAATGGACAGGAGTTGAACACAGCCCATGTGCATTGATCTGCAAAGGTGTTGGGATGTACTGGTCTGAAGGAGCATTTCCCAACACTGTCCTTCTACTCCAACAGTGAAAGAATCTCAGTTAGCTGTACCCCAGCTCAGATCAGGGCACCTCTGTTTAAATGTTAGCAGTCGGAATGTAAATCTTGTGGCTATTTATACCCATCCAAGAGCTTGCACTTTAAATGTCATTACTTTAAGGTAAAGTTTTTGGAGGTTGTCAGAGAAAATTCTTGTAGTAACTTAAAACCAGAACACTCAGAATATGCTAAATACCGTCATAAGACAATTTTTTTTTTTGCTTACCTTAGACAAGCATTGCAGGTGTTTCCAGTGAGAAGATGTTCATTGGGAGAGTTTTCCTGGGTGTTCTTTCCCATTTGTAACTCTGCTTTACATGCCTTACTTTAGGCATTTCAGTATCTGTGGATGTGATACAACATTCCTGTGTTCTGTTCATGCTCGTTCTTTAGCACCCAGGGTTGGGTTTGTAAGCTAGACTTGGGTCACTTCACTTAACTCTTCTCTGATGCTATTTTTCATGTGAAGAAAAAGAAATTCAATTGTTTACATGCTCCACTGGAAAGACAACACTGACTTGAAGTTTTCTGCAGTGCATTTTTCTTTTTCTGCTCTGCACTGCATGGTTTGTAGTGAAATACAGCATTTGGCCCCTTAATTCCAAAAGCAATGTTGCTTTCGGTAAAGGTTAATGCTATTTTGGCAGCAGTTGTTGGTGTGAGTTCTGACAGTCTGTGTTTGTAAGCTGGAGGATGAGGCAGTTTTACCACTTCTGGAGGTGATGCCTGTGGCCTTTTGAAAAGTGATGTGTGGTGGTGGTTCCTTCTCAGTTTATATTCATAAAAGTTGTTGGAGTGTACATGCTGATGGAAGTGAGATATTGCTGCTTGACAGAAGTACAGGATAAAAAAGGAACAAGAAGAAAGAAGGAAAGGACTGCAGGGAGACTTTCACTCTGCTGTGATCTGCAGCACACAACCATGAATCTGCCAGGGAGAGGCTGAGGGATCTGAGGGAGCTCATCCTGCAGGAAATAAGGCTCAGGGGTGGTTTTCTTGCTCTCCACAGCTCCCTGGTGGGAGGGCAGAGTTAGCTGAGGGTTGGTCTCAAGGGACAGGACCAGAAGAAATGGCCTCAAGCTGTGCCAGGTGAGGCTCAGGTTGGATATTGGGGAAATGTTTGGCCAGGCACTGGAACAGGGTGCCCAGGGAAGTGCTGGAGTGTCCCTGGAAGGTGTGTGGCAACTGGGAACAGAGGTGAGCAGGATGGTGCTGGACAGGGTTAGTGGTTGGACTTGATGATTTTAGAGGCCTTGTCCAGCCTTAGTGATTATGGGATTCTTTTGGGTTTCATGTTTGTCTCTGCACTATAACCAGTTCCTGATACAACAATACATTTCTGTAGAGAAGTAAATCTTCTTCTGCTATAACCATGAGATTTAGAGCTAGTTTTATAAACCTGACCACCACCCAGCCCTGCCTACTGAGTATGAAGAGTTTTGGTTGTGTGAGTGGTTTGTGCAGTGCTGGCACAGCCCCACTGCTCTGAGCCCAGCACAAGTGTGTGCTGGGGGCCAGAGGGGATTCAGCACAGCCCAGAAAAACAGTTCATACCCTTCATGTATAACATCAGTTCATGCAGGCCTCTCTGCAGAGCCTCGCTCAGCTCTCCTCACTCCTTGTCCTCCTCTAACCAGAACTCGACAAGACAAATGTCAGCTTGCATTTTCTGCACCATAGAAGGTCACCAGCTGTGGGAGGAAGCAGCAAAACATGAGCTCTGGAAATACAGAAGTCAGAAGTAAGGGAAAGGGTCTGGCTGAGGGATTAATTAGGAAGTAAGGGCTTGCCAGAGGAGTGATTTGGCCTATTTTAAAATGTCTATCATCACTTGAGCACTGATCATGTAATGTAAAATGGGATGTGCCTTGTCTTTGCAATGCTGTCTTGATTTCTCTTTCCAGATGTTTTTTCCATAGCATTACCTGTGTCTGTAGCAGTCAGAAAGGCATATTGGTCCTGGGAAGCAATAATTTTCACTTGATATCTTTCCTCTGACACTTGGTTGTTGATTGTGTTCTCAGTCTTCTAAAAAATATGGCTTTATTCTGTGTAAAATGCACTTCATATATTAGCACAGTATTTTTATTCACTTATTAAGGCCAGGTTTTTAATGATGGGTGAGTAAATTAATGAATATTGCCTCCATTTTCATCATCACTAAAGATATGCAAAGAAATTGTTTCTTTGGATGATAATCTTTGTTTTACCATTTTTATATTAAAAAAAGAAGCATGTTGCAAGTCCTGAAGTGTAGTTCAGTTACTGCAGTAGTGAAACAGTTGTGGTGTGGAGTTCCTAACCTAAAAGGATGCTGAAGTGTATCCTGCCCAGCACAGGCTGCAGGAAACACTCTCAGCAGCATCTGAATTCCCTGTTTCCCTAGGAGAACCTTGCAGCCTGCTGTAGCATGGGCTTTTTAGTAAGGACAACCATTCTGTGCTCCTCTGTTTGATCCAAGCACCAAAGGAAACTTGTCCTGCTGCTTGTGTCTGGCTTTTGCAGTTGGACTCCAGCTCCAGGTTGGACAGGGCTTGGAGCAGCCTGGGGTAGTGGAAGGTGTCCCTGCCCATGGCAGTGTTTAAACTAGATTATGTTTAAGGTCCCTTCCAAGCCAGGCCATTCTGAGATTCCAAGACTGAGTTATGCTATTTTCATTGTGCCTCAGTATTCCTCAGAGCAAGGCAGTGAAAATACTCTGCAGGAGGTGCTGAGGTTTTCAAAAGTATTTTGTGTGACAGTTACAGAGACACTGAGAGCCAAAACTTTATGAAATGAGCACAATTAAAAAAAATTATCACAATCAGTATTTTACCCCTAGGCATTCTATATCCCAGACTTGATGCAGTGTAAATCCCAGTGCTCAGACAGGGATTTATGTTTGGAATCTGTGAAGTATCTAAAGGGAGCAAGGACTGTATGCATTCTTTGTGTTTTCAGTTTTCATATTCAATTTTGTCCCTGCCCATGGCTATGGCAAGCCAGTGCACATGCCCTTTCTGTCAGCAGGGTGTTGCCATTGGGCCAGGGTTTGAAGGACAGGCTTTTCCTTGTGGTGGTGAGGTATGGAGGTCTTGCAGAGAATCCTTGTTGTGCTCTGGGAAGGATGCTCTTCTCCCTGCCAGGTGTCTTCTGCAGGTACCAGCTGCTGTTTCTGGTGGATAATTTCTCAGTTTGGCTTTCTCCCATTGAATGGTCCTGTCCATCTCTGGCATTAGAGTGCTGTAAAATGCATCACCAGACATGTCAGCAGGGGTACAAGTTATAGAATCTGCTCCTGTTTAAGGTCATTTTGCTCAGGATTACACTGAGTGTCCCCTAAGCTGATCTCTGAAATTCTGGCAGGTGTCACAGCTTATCTACCATGGTCATGTGCTAGTCAGGAGGAAGGGTTGAAAGTCTGGTCCATTGTGATTAACTGCTGTTATGTCTGGTAGATGTTACTTGTTTCATTAAAAAGAAAGTGTTTTTTTGTTTTTTGTTTTGTTTTGTTTTTCCCTCCCTCTTAGGTGGAACGTATTGGGTATTCAAGGAGCCTTACTTAGCCTCTTTGTGGAGCCAATTTACTTCTCTAGCATCATCTTGGGGAGTTTATATCATGGGGATCATCTATCCAGAGCCGTTTACCAGAGGATAGCAGAGATAGAAGATCTACCACCTCTTTATACACTCAACAGACCTTTACTTAGTGGCAAGTATCTAATGGAGAAGGCCGTGCCGGTAACTAAGTCTGTTCCAGTAGCTTTGTGATTTTGTAGTTCTCAAAACCTTGCAAACTGTGTGCTGTGAGTAAACTGCTTGCTGCTTGCAATAGAGAAGTTGTGGTCAAAATATAATACAGACACCCAGTTAGAAATACCATAGCAAGGACCTTTAAAAGTTGGGAACAGCTGGGGGTTGAAACCTGGGGTGAGTTTTCACACCATGCCTGTCTGGAGCATGCCCAGGGAGATGTGAGCAGAGTTGAGGGCTTAGGGAAATCTCCTCCCACCTGTGGAATAGTGTGTTAGCACTCACTGTCACTTCTCCTGCACTGCACATTTTTATTGAGTGGTCCCTTCATCTCTCAGTATGCCAACGTGATTCACAATTCAGAATGGACAAAGATAGCACCTCACCTGTCTTAATTTCAAAAATGGCTTGTTTCAGTAATGCTCTGAAAGCTTTAAAACTGAAATCTCATCCTCCCTCTCACTCACTGTGTTTATTGCTTTGTTCTGTAGAGGTTAGCTTTTGGCATGTGTTTATTTTCCAGGGAAGAAAAAAGCAGCTCATAATTTTAAAGCATGTTTAAAGCTTGACGTGAATTTTAAAAAAAAATTTAGGGAGGGAGTGGGGAAACAAGCATTGTGAACAATGAGGATTTCTTTAGGTAAGAAAGATAATTTTTGGTAAGAATTCTCTGAACTAGGATGTATAAAAATGTTAAATAATGTATTTGTCCTTATATTAGCAAGTAAGTAACAGTTGCAACACTGTACCAAATATCTAAGAGTTTTATGGGCATAGTAGTTGGTGTATGGACTGTTTCTGCCTGATTTTGGGGAATTTTTATCAGTCCTTCAAGACAGCAGGTTTGTGGCAGGGTGAGAAGCATTTTTGTTATCCTTTTCACAGCATGTAACGGTACCTTGTTGTCTTGAAAATCATCTTTCTGCAATGGTGCTATCATCTATTTCCCATGAAAGAGAACCATCTGTTTAAACAGTTGAGCCAGGACTTGCTGTGCAGCAGAGAGAGTCTGGAAATGTTCTCAGCTGTGGAGTTTTCACAAAAATACACATCTCAAAAATGTACAGCAAGGTTCTCTAGGAGCTTGGGCAGAGAACTGTGTTGATGTATTTTCTTTTACTGGTTCAGTCTGGAAAGGTGATTTTCTGACCTCTGCTGTTGGTTTCATCTGGGGCATTTGTGTAGCTCCCCATGTGCTCTTGGATTCACATATTTTTCAGTGTATTTTTACCTAGAAGAAGCATGGCAGAAATACCTGTCTGCAGTTCTGTGTTCTTTCTTGTGTCACACACACACACACCCCTCTGAGATTTATTCCCACCAGGGGGATGAACTAGAACAGAAATACCTGTGTTGCCCCACTGTCCTGCCTGTTTAGCTGAGAAAGTACTGTAAAAACAGATTTTCTTCCTCTAATAAAGCAAATTTCATGTCTGCTGGGTCACCTGCATTAAGTCAAAATTATTTTGAGATACTATTTATACTGCTAAAAACTGTCTTTTTATAATCTTTGTTTCTTTATAAGAGACTTTTATGTGGCCCTTTTGGCAGCAGATTGAATCCTAGAATCATTAAGGTTGTAAAAGACCCCAAGATCATTGAATGCAACCATGAGCCCAGAAATGCCCTGTCCAGCACTAACATATCCCCATATATTCAATTCCAGTGGGGAACAGGCATACCAGAGCAGATGTTTTTCACCTGAGGGATGCAGGAAATCTGTCTGTTCATAGAAAACTCCCTCCTGTGCTGACTCTTGGCAGCCTTGGTTGCAGGATCCAGCTTTTGAGGGCAGTTGAGCTCTCCCCTGAGAGGTGGCTTGAAGAGAAGACAGGTTTGAATCTTGTAAATTTGTAGGATAATTTGAAAAAAAATTGATTTCTCAGTCAGAGTGAGGGTGGTTGGATAAATCAGCCAATATCAAGTTTGCCACCTGCAGGGTGACCTGCACAAACTCTTTTTGAGGGGGAGCCAGTGTGGGAGATGGGCATGGAGGAGTTCACCTGGGCTGAAGCCCAAGTCAGGTTTGAGAGATCTTTGTGTTTACAAATCCTTAACACATCTTTCAGTTGTTCATTCCTGGTTCCATTTTTTTTTTTAATGCTTTCAACTTTTTGCCATCCACGGCCTCCTTGAGTAAGGAGGACTGTGGAATGTGCCAAGGTTTGTGCAGAGGAATTTCCTTTCTGCTGATTTCCTCAATTAGGTGTTCCTCAGTGCTCTGTGAGATCCAGGCCATAAGCAGTGGTCATGACACTCAGTTTTCTGTACCTCTCAGATATTCCTTCCTACATAAAGGAAGCTGACGTGTCTTAGTCTGCTTTGTTGTTCCTTGCACGGAGATCCTTTCACATTTTTGTGATCATTTTTGTGCTAGTGAGACCAGGGCAGTAGCTGAAATTCAGGATAGAGCAGCAATACTATTCCCTGTACTGGCATATATTCTGTTCACTTCCCTGATCCTTCACTGATAATTCCTGACCTTCACTTTGATTACTGTTGGTGACTGGCCTGACCTTTTGGTAGAGCTGAATATTAGAAACTAAAATCTCGTTCCTGAATTCTAATACAGAGCTCCAAGTCCAGCACTCCTTGTCAAAGATTGCTTTGAGTTTTTTCTTAATATGCGTTGCTTTATATTTATCTGTGAATAATTTAATATCTCTTTTTATTGCCTAGACACCCAGTATGGCAGGTTTTTTTCTGCTACTTTTTGCCATTGCTCCTCTTATTTGCTGTTTAAAAATAATTTAGTATCATTAATGATCCTACCTCCATTTTTCCCCCCCACATATCCCAGGTCTGCCCTGAGCTGGAGGCTCTCCCAGCTGTGTTCACTCTTCCCAAAGAGATCATCTTTATCCAAGTGTTAGTGAATTTGTTTTTAAGGTAGACAAAAATAAATCCTTCAGCAGGACTTCTGGTGATTTTTTTATTTGCCTGTTCCCTTGGTACCTTATCCTCCTGTTCACATTGGTGTTTTTCAGCTTCCTGTGTCCTTTTTCATGAAGCTTGTTTTAGCTTTCTCCTCAAAGAACTGTCAAACTTTATTATTTATATAAGCAGTGGCACCAAGAGCTGTGACCTTTGCTTTTGTTTATTATATCCCTTTGTAATAATACTCAACAATAAGTTCTGAGCAAGGTTCTCTAAATAGCTTTAGTTCCATGAGTTTTGAAAGAAGAGTAAAATATTTGATTTTCTATCCTAAATTTCTGTTTCTAATCTAAGCATATTGTGCTGTATTCATGTCTAGATTTTGATGGGGAAGATAGGACCCACCTAAAAGTTTATCAAATGCTTTGATTTTGAGATGACCTTTATTCCCTGCCCCTGCTACTTGTGATCCACCATCACAATGACATCTCTCCAGGGTTCTTGCATGCACATAAGCAGCTGAATGGGTTGTTATTAATTAAATCTATTTGAAATTCTAAATCTGGGTTGGTTTTGGTGGTTTTTAAAAACATTTAATTAATTCATCAAAAAACAAGGAATAGAATCATATAATTGCAGTGGAAATGTAGTGCATGCTGGATGTTCAGCTTTCTCATCTTTATTTGATTTGTTTGTGGGACTGGTTGTGATACCACAAAGCGATTTGGAGTACTTGATGACCTCTGTCTGATCCCTGTACTTGTTTAATAGTGTATGGAATGAAAGAGAAAGTAGTAGTATAGATGTCATTTAAGGAAAAAAAAGACAAAAAAATTGTCATGTGGCATCAATTTCTTAGCACTTTTGCCTCAGTACTTTTGGTGAAACCAACTTTTGTGCCAATTCTCATTTTTTCAGCTTATATTTTAAGAAAATGGGGAATAGTAGGTTATTTTCTGTTATTATTCAGCTAATGATTTCTCATCAGTCATAGTGACAAGATTGATCCAAACCAAGGCTAAAAATACAACAGCTTCAGTAGTTTATATTTCAAAGGGTTTCTTTGTTTATTAAATGAGGAATTGATGATAGGGAGCAAACTTCATTTTGCTGGGTCATTCTGGCCTTGTCCACTCTCAGTGCTGGGCCAGAGGTGCCATGGGACTGAGCCAGGTGAGCCAGTCCTGCTCCCAGGTGTCCAGCTTTATTGGGTTGTATTCCAGATAGCAGCCAGAAATGCATCCTGCTGTGTTGCTCATGTTCAGTTTCCACAAATTCTTTAGATTTTATTAAGTGTAGGACCTGGCCTAACAGTGAAATAAGTTCTCAGTGGGAGCTGCCTTAAAGTAAAAGTGGGATTTATATTTACTAGAAAGAACAAATTGCCCTGGTGCTTTGTTCTCTCCTGGTGAGGTGACTGAGACATCTTAAACAGAGTTTTGCCACCCCTGCAATGTCTGAGGAGTTGCACATGCATGGCAGCAGCTTCTGTGACCTTCATTTTGTATAGTCCATCTTTGTTTGGGGTGTTGTGGGGAATAAATCCTGCCCTGGGCAGGCAGCCAGACTCGATTTGCACTTGGGTTGGATTGTGGTGGCTTTGCTTCTCCATCCCTTCTGGTAGAGCCATAGTTGGAAAGTGTCACATAATTTAACACCTGAGCAAAGTGATTTGAGTCCTGTTTGGAATCCTGTGGTTCCCTGTCTCTGGGCTCAGTGTGCAGCACTGGGCCTGTGGAGTGGGGAGTCAGCTGGAACACGGTGGATTTGTGCTGGAAGACCCAAATGTCTGCCAGCTCTGGCTTTGTGGAGGCTGCTGAGCATGGGGCTCGCTTGCAGTGGAATCACAGGATGGGTTGTGTTGGAAGGGACTGTAAAGCCCATCTCCTTCCACCCCCTGCCATGGGCAGGGACATCTTCCACTATCCCAGGTTGCTCCAAGCCCCATCCAACCTGGCCATGAACATTTCCAGGGTTCATAGCTTCACGTCCATTTGGGAATGAGGTGAACCCCATGAACTCCTGCCACAGAGCTCTCCATGACCTCCCCTGCCAAGGAGGCTGCTTCTTCCAGCAGTGCACACTTGCCGTGCTGGGAGGGACAGAACTAGAGACCACTTTAGCCAGAATGAGAGTGAGATGTCACTCTGTCAGTGAGGGAGAAATCTGCAGGAGAAAACCCTCAAAATATAAGATCTGCTTCTAAGACTGTTCACCCTGCAACCCAAAACCAAAAGCCAAGCATTTGTATTTATTGTCATCATGAAATACCACTTTTCTTTCAGGTATCAGCAACGCAGAGGCCCGCCAGCCAGGGAAAGCCCCCAACTTCAGTGTGAACTGGACAGTGGGAGACTCAGGCCTGGAGGTCATTAATGCCACCACGGGCAAGGACGAGATGGGGCGCGCGTCGCGCCTCTGCAAGCACGCCTTCTACAGCCGCTGGATGCGCATCCACGCCAAGGTACGGCCCCAGGGCACCCTGACACTGCTCAGGGCTGAGGGGAACGCCTGCGTGGGCTTTGGGCACTCAGAAAAGTGCTGTGCTTCTGGCCTTCCTCAGCCTCTTACAAGCTGAGCCTCCTGCTAGAGCCATACAATCATTAGAGCTGGAAAAGTCTCCTAAGATGGTCAAGTCCAGCCATCAACGCAGCACCACCACCATGATCATGTTCAACCATGCCCTCTAACACCACATCCACATCAAATGTTATTGGAACACTTCCAGGGACGGCGAACCCACTGCTTCCTTGGGCAGCCTGTTGCAATGTTTCCCAACACTTTCAGTTCATGTTTTTTTTCCTTCTATCTAATTCTCTAATATCTAATGAGTTCCCTAATATCTCAGCCTGTTTTAAGCTGAGTCTTGTGTTTTCCCTAATATCTAATGAATTCCCTAATATTTAATTCCCTAGTGTCTAATGAATTCCCTAATATCTCATTCCTTAATATCTAATAAATTCCCTAGTATCTCTGTTTTAAGCTGAGCCACAGAATCACTAAGGCTGGGAAGGGCCCTTAAGATGGTCAAGTCCAGCCACCAACGCAGCACCACCACCATGTTCACTTTAAACCATGCCCTCCAGCACCACATCACCAGGGATGGTGAGCCCACTGCTTCCCTGGGCAGCCTGTTCCAATGCTTTACAACCCTTTCAGTGAACTTTTTTCCCTAATATTTAATGAAATCCCTAATATCTAATTCTCTATCTAATGAGTTCTCTAATATCTCAGCCTGTTTTAAGCTGAGCCTCGTGTTTTCCCCAATATCTAATGAATTCCCTAATACCTAATTCCCTAATAGCTAATGAATTCCCTAGTATCTCAGCCTGTTTCAAACTGAGCCTCATGTTTTTCCTAATATCTAATTCCCCAATATCTAATGAAATCCCTAATATCTAATTACCTAATATCTAATGAATTCCCTAGTATCTCTGTTTTAAGCTGAGCCACAGAATCACTAAGGCTGGGAAGGGCCCTTAAGATGGTCAAGTCCAGCCACCAACGCAGCACCACCACCATGTTCACTTTAAACCATGCCCTCCAGCACCACATCACCAGGGATGGAGAGCCCACTGCTTCCCTGGGCAGCCTGTTCCAATGCTTTACAACCCTTCCAGCGATTTTTTTTTCCCTAATATCTTATCTAAACCTCTGGTGCAACTTGAGGCCAGGTAGCTGCTGCCTCATGCAGTAACAGAGAAGAGCAATGTGTTTGTTAACTTAGTTTTTAATGTGATGCTGTCTGGTCCAAAATGCATATTCCTTGGTTTATTGCTGAGTAGGCGAAGGATGCTGTTTCCTTTGAGCTTGCATTTGCATTTTAATTTATTTGGAAGGATAATCTCATTTTCACTGCTGAAGTTTCACTCGTTACTCTCAGGAAGAAAACTTCCAGTAATTATGCCTGTGGCTTTTTGGCCTCAAGGTTTTGTTTGATGGATCTTTACCTTGTTTTCATATTAGCTGTTTAAATACTCAGTCACTCTGGTGCTGTTTGGCCTAATGGGGTCTTGTCTCTCTCCTTGTCTTGTCTCTGACCCCACAGCTTTCCTCCAGCTTGCGCTCCAAGGTCCTCAAGCCCAACCTGTACCACGACACCAAGCAAGGAGCCACAGAGTACCAAACTGCTAAAGAGTGTTTGTTTAAAGCATTCCTGAAGGCAGGACTGGGAGCCTGGGTGGAGAAGCCCATAGAACAGGATCAGTTTTCTCTCACAGTCTGATTGACAAACTGCACATCACTGGGGAAGGGGAGTTGTTCTGGAGATTCCTGGTGTCCAGCGTTGCTTTCTGGCATCTCCACAGCCGTCAAAACATCCCTCTGCTCTTTGGAGTTGGGTTTCTTTGGGTTTTCTTCGAAACTTCACAGTAGCTGTTTCTGTTTTGCCTAAGTATTGAAACTCAATGATGATGCAACACATAATTGTATATTTTGTTATAGGAAAGTAATTTCTGGTGTATTTCTAGAAATACTTTTACTGTAGAAAACTTGCAGTAAGGCTGTCCTTACTGTATACAATGACTCATTTTTTCTGGGTTAAAATAATTTCTTTTTTAATTCAATGTCATCAAGTGCATGAAGAAATTAATAGTTTCTCTAGGTTTTACACCACACTTTTAGGAAGTAGCTTAATTTTTAAAAAAGAAGATAGGTGACAAAGCTGATTCTACTCCTCTGTTAACTTGTTTTTCAACTGCAGATATTTTTAGTACATAGACCACAGAGGCGGAATGGAGTCTGGACAGCTAGTTTTTTTTCCCAATTCCTTGCTCTTTAAAACCAGCTGCTGAAAATTTCATGTCTTTGATGTATGTATTTATTAGTCTGTGAGCCAGTTTTTAACATGCAGCTTTTTATTCTGTTTTTAAAAATACATTTACCTCCCATTTATACCCATTGTGAAGTCTTCATTTTTTTTACCATTGTAAACTGGAAACATCAAAATAATTATTTGTAAATTAAAAAGTTTAGTCTATCACATGCAGAAGCCTGTTTAGAAGTAGATGATTTGTGTCTCCCAGGAACTCATCTGAATACAATCTTAACTGTAACAGCAATGTAACAGCTTTAAAGAAATCTGCTCATTTTAAGGGCACCAAGCCTGAGTTGCCAAAACCAGTGACTACTTGTTGGGTATTAATTGCTCTCCTCTAGAAACTCTTGTAACAGAGAAACCAATTCTTAAAACTTATTTCCTGTGAGTTATATCTGCTTTCAGCCAAATTGTTGTGTCTGAGATTCCCTTTTGCCTTTGGGCTTTACATGTGTGATGGGCATCATGAAGCTAATTAGGTAAGTTGCCCTCAAACGTGTGTCCATCTGTTCTGACTGTTCCTTTAACAAGTGTTTTTCCTGGAGGTGTGGACACTTGGGCTTTATGTAAAAATGTAAGATGGAAGTGAGATACTGAGGTTTGATGAACTGCTGTGTAGAAGGAGCACCTCAGCCCCAGCACCCCTGGGGTCAGCAAGTCCTTGGGGTGCTGAAGACTTTGGCCAGAAGTGGGTTTACACCAATCATGAATCCTAAGGCATTTCTGCTTGAGTAGGAGCCTGTTCTCAGCTTTCAGGACCTGAAAATCACTTGTGCATGAGTTGGAGTCTCTGGGTTCATGTCCTGGGAGGAAGACACTGAGGTGCAGACAGTGCATTGGGGTGGTGCTGTGGAAAAGCAAGCATTCCTCTGGGAAGACAAGAGAGGCTGTGACCCAGGGCTCCCTCAGGGAATTGGTGCTTCTGGAGGTTATTGCCTTTTCCAGATGCTGGGGGAGGATGCTGCAATAGAAGGGCTGGATTAATTCACCTTTGTGATGGCTTCAGTCACCTCATTGAGCTTCTCATTAAAGCTGAGAGCACTCCTGTGGCCTCTGCAGGCCAGCAAGGCCCTTGGAGACATCATCCAACCCAGGTGCAGACTGACCTCTTCCAAAACAAAGGAATTCAGTTACATGTGGTCAGATTCTGCAAGCTCTGGGACACCCATCTTGGGATTGACCTTGTCTTGGTCACCCTGCAGAAGTTCTGTTTGGGGCTGTAACTGGGTGTGTGAACATGTTTCTTTTTCTGAGGAAAAGGTGGTCAAGCTGTGTGTGTTTCCTTGGAGTCATTGCTGCTCTCAGGTGAAATACACATTTTTAAGGGACTCATTCCGAAGTTGGCATCTCTCTAATTTTTTTCGAGGACTAGGAAAGTAGTAGCTCAAACTAATTTTTTTATTAAGTCAGAAATATGAACAAAATATTTAAATAGTATTAAAGACCTAGATTTTTAGCTGTTGGAATGAACTATTAACATTAAACTATAATGGAAATATATTCCATGCCAGAATCTTTTGACAAAGGAGTTGTGCCAGGGTATTTGTGAGGAAAAGTTCTCTTGTTGGTAATTCTGGGATTTTAAAAAGAAGCTGTCCAGGGTAGTCTGTCTTGTAGGAGTCAATAAAAACTGCTTGGCTTCCTTCAATCCCTTGTTCCTTCTTGTGCAGCTCAGAGTGGAAGGAAGTAGGGAGAGCTCCCTGGAAATCAGTGTTACTGGGCAAGGAAGGATGGCCATGTAGGTAATCCCAAGTGGCTGCTAAAAAGATCAGACACCTCAGCCTCTGGCAGCTGCCAGGTTTTGTAGGAAACCAGCTTTTGGAGACTGAGGGCTCTGGAAAGCCTGGGCAGGGTAGGTGGGAGCTGGCCTGTGTATCAGACATCTCAGCCTCTGGCAGCTGCCAGGTTTTGTAGGAAACCAGCTTTTGGAGACTGAGGGCTCTGGAAAGCCTGGGCAGGGTAGGTGGGAGCTGGCCTGTGTATCAGACATCTCAGCCTCTGGCAGCTGCCAGGTTTTGTAGGAAACCAGCTTTTGGAGACTGAGGGCTCTGGAAAGCCTGGGCAGGGTAGGTGGGAGCTGCCCTGTGCGCGAGGGCGTACGCGGCCCTAGATCCGGCTAGCACGAGGGGTGAGAAGGCCAACGGCCCTGCGCATAAGAAGCCAGCCCCCCTCGGCGTCTTGGCCTCAGGCTGGGCTGGAGGAAGAGCTCGGAGTTGCGCACGCGAGACGAATAAGGAGGTGACCACTTGCTGGTGAACAGTCGGTTTATTGGGTGATCCGGAGGCACCAACAAGGAGGGGCACCAACCAGCAAAATGGCCCCGAACAGGGGGAGCGACAAGGTTTTATAGGGAAGGGGAGGAGAGAGGAGGGGAGCCCAGCTATCCAATGGGGAAACTCAAAGGGAGGTACTGAACATAACTGACATACACCAGAAACCAACGAATACAAAGTAAAGGAGGGGCCCCGGGACCACAGCCAACCACAACCCCCAGAGAGGAGAAGGTTCTCGAAACCTGGGAGGAGTGGGGGGTGATTGACTGTGCCCAGGGAGGAGATAACATCTACTTATAAGGTGGGATGAGGGAGGAGCGGTCATACAAACTGTAACATTAGCAACTAAAAATAGCATGGTAACCAGGCAACTTAACTGGCAAGGAGGCAGTGGCGGGAAAAACTGGGGAGAGAGGAACCATTTACAAAGAACAAAGGAGGGTACAGTGCATAAAATGGGGGAGCAAACTGAGAAACTTAAAACACACTACAACAGGCCTGCACAGGGAGGTTGTACTGCTGCTCTGGGAGCTGCTTCCATTCTTTTACTTTTTATTTTTTTTCCCTTATATTTGATTGAATATTTATATAATTATTTTGATTGAATATTTGCATAATTGAGTATTTGTCTCAGGATCTTCAAAGGACTTAGAGTAACAACTTTAATGTTGATGAATACTTGAAATTGAATTTAAGGTGTTTTTTTCTCCAGATGGCAGTCTGGCTTGTAGTAAAGTTTTATAGGTTAGGTAAATAGATAATTTTAAATATAGATGTTTAAAAAAAATTATATATATATGTATATGTTCTGCAGGATCATTTTAAGAAAATCTGGGCCTAAAGGTTAACACTTGAAATCTTGCTTATGGTTGTACTCAGGACTGGTGATAACTGTAGATTATTTACTGATTGTGTGAGTGTTGTTGTGTAGGAGCTTGTTAGCAGTGGGGGTGTCCAGCTGGCTCTGCCCCTGCAGCACCTGGTGATGGGAACAGGGACTCTGCTGCCTTAGGGATGTACAGCAGGGGGGTTTCTGTACAGCTGGCAATTCCCATTTTCTCCTTGTCTTGGAGAAATCTTCTCATGGCTGGTCACTGCACAGTCAGCTCTGGAGAGGAAGATTTTTGTGTGCAGTTCCTCTAAATGTAAGAGAACTAGCAGCTGAAAGGCTCAGGGTCAGGGAACTGGGGTTGCTTTTCATCAGTGCAGCTCTGGAGATGGGCTGGGAGAGCTGCAATGTCTGTGCAGGCACAGAGTTTGTGGTGGTTGGGAGTGGGGCTGGCCCAGCCTCATCCCCAGCGGGCACAGCTGTGCAGGACAGGTGAATGCTGTTGAAGGGAACGAGCCATGGAGTGCCCAGGGGCACTGACCAACCACCAAAGGGAACAGAGGGCACTCAGGGGCAGGGCAGCAACAGGAGGGGATAAAAGGCTGGGCTGAAGGACAAGAAGGGCAGATGCTTGCAGCCTGCTGAAGAGGTGAGGTGTTACTCTGTATGGGCAGGTGCCTGAAGCCTTCAGAAGGGGTAAGGAGTTACTCCAAAGCTTTCTGATATTGTGTGGTGATACTCTGTGTGTGGTGGCTGTCTCACTGTGGCATTGCAGTGGCATGTGCTGAGACAGGGCTGTTCACCAAAAGAGAACCTCAGGGGAGGCCTTAGAGCACCTTCCAGAGGGGCTCTAGGAGAGCTGGAGAGCACCTGGAGTGCCAGGGTAACAGGCATGGCTACAAACTAATGGACATTAGATTTTGGCTGGATATTGGGAAGAATTTTTTCCCTGTGAGGGTGGGGAGGCCCTGGCACAGGGTGCCCAGAGAAGCTGCCCCATCCCTGGAAGTGTTCAAGGTCAGATTGGATGGGGCTTGGAGCAGCCTGGGACAGTGAGAGATGTCTCTATCCATGGCAGGGGGCTGGAACTGGATGAGCTGTAAGGTTCTTGCAAACCATTCCATGATTTTGTGATGCCCAAGAGTGCATGTACACCCCAGAAGGAACACCCCAGAACTCCCTGTGCTCTCAGTGATGTGTGCTCAAGTGAAAGCTGTTGGTTCTGAGTGTTTGGGAGCATGAGGCAGAGCCTGTGTCAGGGAGTAGTGCTGCCTTTGGAAACCAAGCTCTGGTTTTAGAAGAATTACTAGCTAGGAATTGAGAATGTGTTCTAAGAGCTGCTTAGTCATGGTCACCACATAAGTAAAATGTTGAGGTTTTTAGATATCAGTAGTTTTCAAAATAGTTTTATGTCCATTCCTTAAATTATTGTTTGGAAGGCTCATGCTTGCAGAGAAGCTGCACTTTGAATTCTTTCCAATTTCATCATCATTAACTGTCCACTGTGAAAATTATCCCAAAGTTTACTGAAAAGGAAGGAGAGCTGCAATTCAGGTAGAGAGTCAGAACCAAAATCTGTCATGTTATTTACAACCTAAGACTCCACAGAAATAAAATGTATAAAATATAACTATTCTGTCTCAGAATCACTGCCTGGGTTTTGTTGGGTTTCTTTGTCCATTTTTTAATTTGTTTTCTATTACTAAGTGTTTTCAGTTGAGCTTCAATGTTTCCACCTGGACTTTGTGTGCTCCTGTTGGCAGAGGAGGTTGTGTTTATCCTGGGGCTGGAGCTAGCAGAGGCACAGAGGTTTTTGTGTGTCCATCTGAGGCTTTTGAGGCTCGTTGGGCCTGCTGCTCTTCCTTTGTGCAAACAGCTGGAGGATTTGCAGCAATTTTGGGTTGATTCCCTGTAGGAGAAGTTGTGTGGGTCTCTGGGCAGGCAGGCTTGGTGTTTGGAGCTGCAGGATGGGGGGTTCATCCCTAGGCAGGTGTTTGTCCCTAAAATGGGATGGACTCTGGCAGTTTTCCCTCCTCAGTGCATCCACTGGCATCGTGTGCTCGAGCCCATACAGGGCTTCCCATAAAACTGCTTTTCCTGGGAATAATGCAAAGCAATCATCAGGGGCTGCAGGAACTGAGCTGGGGCTGGAGTCCTGGGGCTGGCCGGGCTGTGGGGCCCAGGGAGGGCCCACATTCCTTGTTGGATCATGTCCATGTACTGTGTTTTTCTGCACCTTTTAGCCAAAGGCCTCTCCCACTAGAATGGGTAATTAATTGCACCCACAGCATCTGTGTTTGCAGCAATGAGTTTTGTGGGTAGCTGTGCTTTGTTTTCTTCAGTCATTCCAGAAGAGAGGAATTGAGAAATCTGCTGTGTTTGCAGCCACCTCAGCAGACTGAGCAGTTTAAGTAATACCTGTTCTCTGGAGGGGAAGCTCCACAGTTGGTGTCACTGCCGTGTTTTTATGTTTGTAATATCTTCATCGCTATCATACCAGTATCATTTCTGTTGCAGTTTGGCTGAGATGTCCTCAACAGGTTTAAGATGCAATGTGTGTGTGTGTGAATATGTATTTATACATCCCTGTGTATAATATTGCTGTATATTATTTGCATTGAGCAGTTACTCTTCCCTGTGTGACAGTGCAAACACATCAGCTTTACCTGCCTGGTGTAAGGTTATTAAAGAACACTTTCAGATACTGTCCTTGACACTTTCTCCATTCATAACCCCAAATTTGAAGAGGAGACCTTGTTATACCTCTGGTTTGTCACTTTCCTTCCAGCATTTCTGTCCTCCTCCCAGTGTCACTGCTGAAGCACAACCCCTTGGTCGATTATTTTAAGCAATGACTGTTTTGCATACTACCTTGCTTTGTTTAAGTAATGTTTGTACAGAGATTTCAAAATATAAAGAGCTATATAATTGCTAAGTTTCATTATTATTTTTTTCATGTCAGTGTTGCTAGTGACAGCAAAGCAATGAGTGAAATGTCACAAGGTACTGGGCATGCCCTAAAGATGATGGTTTTGGTTATGTCCTGAAGAGCTGCTAGGAGCATGGGAGAGGGGAGGGCAAGTGACAGGTCTGTGACTCCAGTGGGGACACATGGCCTGTGGCAGGGTCTGAGAAGGGCTGTGCCACCTCTGATGTGTTTCAAAAGTGGCATTTTGCACTCAAATCCCAAATGGGATCCCCAATACCTGTAGGTGCTCACCAGGATTATCACCTCAGCACGTGTCTGCTGTTGGGTTTGGATCCTGAGCTGGTGAGCCCTGTGGGTGCCAGCACTGCCACTGCCCAAGGAGGGGACACAGCTTGGGACACTGCTCCCCAGTGCTGGGACAGCAGGAGCCCCAACACCTGGTGGTCACCTTCAGCAGCACCTCTCTCAGCAGAGCAGGAAGGTCTGCTCCAAACGTGCTACCCTTGGATGCCTCTGGAGAATCCTGCTCTCAGTTTTCAGTCAGGAATGCCAGCTCAGATCCAGGGCTGCAGCACTGCTGAGGAAGGGCAGGGAGCCACGGACACATGGCCCCTCTG